AAGGACTTTGAATGCTGGGTTCTCAACGGCACGACAAAGCCAGGATACGAAATCATCTCCGGAAGCTCTGTGATCGACATTGCCGTTCGGTTTGCGACTCAGGACTCCGAAAATCTCTCCATCGCTGATGTCCTCTGAGTTCGCATCTCTCAGCGTGTTGAGCTACTCGGTTTCCTCAATCCTTCCTACTTGGCTACGACGGCTGGTCTATCGGAGAGCATATCGTGAATCGTGAGCCCCAAATCCCCGGGAGCTTCTTTGGAGGGTTCCGGGCTAGCGTTGTCGATGAGGAGGCTGCAATTCATTGAAGTCTCCCGCCGAGTACGCCGGTTTCCTGCTGTCTGAGCGTAGCGGCTTCAGGGAGCCAATGTCATCCACCTGCTTCTCGGTCCCTTCGGAGGGGAGTACATGCGCGCTAGGCGCAGCTCGCTCCAAGACAAACAAGACATTATAAATCATAAGATCTATCTATCTATCTTCTATATATATAAAAACGTATGTCTGTTTGTCTGTCTGTTTGTATGTCCGGGGTACCCTATAGACTCGAAAATGGCCGAACCGATCGTCGTGAAAATTTAGGAGCGTGTTCGGGGGGTTCCAGCGGTGGTTATAGGGGGGTCAGTTCTCCGATGCGACGAGTCCTTCTACCTTAAAAAAATTATTCGAGTTGTCCACCCACGAAAATACGAAAACTCTAAAAAAAATTGAAATTCACAAAATTCACAAAAGCCTGAACCGATCGCAGGATTTCTTATCGGCTGGCCCGATCACCATGAGGAGGTGGATTTTCGGGAGCTCCTAAGAAGGCTATCGGAGGTTGCCGTCATCATTGGCCTCTGTCTCTTCACTAATGAATCTCACTGAAAATTGCTGTAGCCTTGAAGGGTATAGATTTTCCGTAGAACACATGGAATAAAAGCGAGGGTACGGGAAAGCGGGGACACGGGGAAGTGGGGAAACGGGAAAGTGGGGAAGCGGGGGAACGGGGAAGCAGCAAAATGGGGAAGCAGGAGAATGGGAAAGCAGGGAAACGGGGAAGTGGGGAAGCGGGGCAACGGGGAAGCGGGGATACGGGAAAGCGGGGAAACGGGGAAGCGGGGAAACGGGAAAGTGGGGAAACGGGAAAGCGGGGAAACGGGAAAGCGGGGATACGGAAAAGCGGGGAAACGGGGAGCAGTACTCTCCAATTTAATCTCGATCCGCAATGTTGCTACTGCGGGGGAAATGAGTAATTGTCAAATTCTCTGCATGTTGCATCCCACGATATTCGAGAGAACTTCGAACACAAAGGAGAATTCCACCAACAAGGCAAACCCGAAGTTCGCTCCGGGGCTCGGTACGTCTAGCGTGGGGTTCAGCGACCTTTTTGGGTTCGCAATCCGTTTCCTAATTTCCGGACCCGACGCAAGCTCGCGATCCAAAATTAGCGCGCCAGAGAGCCACCGTCAGTGACTGCCCTCGTATCCGGCTCTTATCTCCGCAGGGTTAGCCTCGACTTCTACGTCTAGATCTCTCGAATGAATTACGTAGATCCAGCTTACCTGAGGAGGTTCCTCAGGGATGAAGGACGAGGACTTTTACGTGTCTTTCTCTCGAGAGGACGGAATCGGGACAAGTCGATCGAGAGAGGGCGTCGGGAACTCCCGGATCAGCGTTTCATGTGAGGGGAAAACAGTCGTGATGCATCCGGGAATCCTGGTTCCGTCCCGGGTGGCGTATCCAAGGCGCTACAGATTTGAGCACGAGCAGATTCATCGGGCTACTATCGACTTGAATGAACTGGTTCATATACTCGCTCGCCGCGTACTCACTGGTACAATTCCATTCATTTCATTTTGTAGTCCACTCATTCAGAATCTTTAGCTCTTCGGAGTTACCGCCCAGCTCCTTCACCTCGGGGTATCCTAGCGGCCCGAAAAACTGCGCGCTTTTTCCGCGTCATAGTTCATAATATGGCAACTGTTTATTGATAGCTTTGGCGCCTCCCAGATGGAACGCCGAACCACTCCTGCACCACAAATTTCTGTGGTAGACAACTGTACATATTTAAAATTGGATTGGATTTCCTTGAGTGAATTGATCATCGCCGCCCATTACAGTGAGAATTCTCGCTTTGTTCTGTCCACTACTTTTGTACATTCAGAGTGAATCCCCTATCTGCGGAGTCTGGAGTTCATCATACTTCTCTGCTCCTGTCTGTTCTGTCTCCTATATCATTTGTTGCAAACATGTTCCCACTCCTTTGAGTCTAACTGCGTCCTTAACGGATCAGGGGTTGAAACAAGCTTAGCTTATTGTTCCTAGCATGAGCTCTATCCGTCCACAAGTCATGAGACATTCCGACTGATGAGTCGCGGCCGCGATTCTAATGTGAGCTGTCCGTTTTGGCCGTGACACTGGACAGGTCTGCTTGCATCGACATATCATCGACCTAAGGTCATTGAAGATAGATGTCCAACAGAGATGATTCTCAGCTTTTTCCTGAGTATTTACTCCTGAGCCCGGGTCGGAGCCCCGCGCTCGAGCACGCTTCCCCGACTGTGCTGCTGTGGATTAGTCGCTTATCGCCGCGAAGGCTCGCTAGGCTTGAATCTAGCATTCTCCCGCAATTTTCTGATTTACCCTGAGTTTGAGCTGGACTATTTACAGTGCATGAAGGGACCCCGGAGTATTCAATTGAGAGATGAGCGTCCTCTAAGTAGACTCCAATCTGCCTAAACTAAAATGCACCTCAACAGTACTGCATCATTATCTAGTAATCGATAAAAATACAGTGTTTGATGTTATCGCTCAGATACTGACTACTGATGATATTGCCCTAACGCGTAATATTCCAATTTTAGGCCCTGTCTGTCACTCTCGGGCACCTGGGAGTCGTGAAGGAGGGGGTTGGGGATTGATGGAAGAAATGCATGGATGAATTTGAACGAATAAAAGCTGAATCGATGGCCCGCTAAATGAACAAATGGGCGTTGTATATAACATTCAGTCGGTGATTGCCAGGTAGGCCTCATGATCTATTGCCTCATCATCGATTGAGTCTCATCGAACAACGTAAGAATACGCCAGAAGCACAGAACACACTATGATGACGGGAATTAATACGACAAACGTGGAGATAGTCTGACGTCCTGGTGGTTTCCATTGCCCACTTTTTTTCATGGCCGTTGCAACGCTCGACGGCTGTCATACCCTTCCCGACGGATGTCTGCCCAGTTGACAAGATTTGCGGCAGCCACAATAGAATTAACATAGACTATATCAGCTCGAAGCAACAAGACTAGCGACAAAAGTGCATCATTGGTATCATCGTCATCATCATTCTGTCCATACGTCGATCTCTCTGTACAATTCGGGCAACCTGGCCTACTACCCGAAACCCGCAATCGCTAGTGCAGAAGCTCGACTCCAAAGTTCCTGCGTCACAATGAGCAAAAGAATCGATCGATTCCCCCCCGAGGAGAATATGTCGATTCCTACAATTTCACCTTGCTTTCTACCCGAGCGCAACCTCGAAATCGATTCTACCTCCGGCGACGCTGTTTCTGCGGAACGACAGCGACCGGAGAGGAATTCAATGATCCCCAAAAACTTGCGTCCGTAACTCCAGATCAAGAATGGAGTCATGCATATCTAGAGCTCATGCAAATTTTCGGGCGACTCGTGAGTCGTGAGCACAGGATGATCCCGATCGTTGCAATCATTCAGTGGTGGAGAAATAGGTGAGGTGTTGGTGTTATCTTTTTCATGGATTTGATATTTGAATCTAGAAAACTTGAGCAGAAGGGTCAGTCAACGCCGTGACGGGATTGCCGTGTCTGAACGCCGTATGAATCGATAAAAGAAAACGCGCTCGGAGACGACTCCAATCCGGCTCCACGGCGGTGATAACGACGCGACGGCAGCCGCCGGCATAGACGGCTGCGGCATGAATGCCGGCCCGGGATTGATGATTGCGACTCGACATATACTGGCTGAACTAACAGACCTTCGAGGCCCGTCTGTCTTTTCGTCTTTCTGTCTGTTTTATAGAGAGAAAATTATCTACAACCGACTGTGTCGAGTGTGGGGGCTCGTTCTGCTGAGTAAGTGTGTCTCCAACCCGGAAGAACGGAGTATGACGGGCTTCGTGAGGCCTTGCGGAGCTCTGGGAAAGACAGAGGGTTCGCTGAGCAGACGGACTTCCTTGGACTCCCATCGTTTCGGGTGAGGGGTTGGCCATTTTTGACTACCCAATGCGTTTCGGCGCAACGAGTCGAACCGAGCCGAAGCCTCGTTCTCTCGCCCTCCTGCCTTCCAATGGTCCCCTCGGCGCAATCTCGGATAGCAACATTGTCGTGCTTCCATCACTATATCGACCGAGTTGGTGTTGGCTGTGGAATTCGGAAAATGAAACTGATCGGGGATTCCTTCGAAGTCGCGCTGCCGGTGCGTCTCACTCGGGAACGGCTTCGAGAACAGACCCCTTTCGCCTGAGCGGCTATCAGAGAACGACCGGTTTTCCATCCGGTCAACCCATGATCGGTATACTCCGTCTCGTTCGCTGTTCGTGTCGTCCTCTTCGTCGAGATTGGGAATCGGTCAATTATCATGCGTCTTCCTCCAAGCAAGTGCTGTGCCGCTGATTCAGTGTTGTGAACCGATAGAAGGTAGGTGTCTCCGTGTGAGTTGGTGATTGTGTGAGTGTACGCTAACTAAGATACAAACAGACTTTGCGGACCGACAGACTCGGTTCGGACAACACTCAAGCATTCTCATGTTCTATACGTCTAGCAATGTGCCGCCGAGATTGGACAGTCCGGGAGAATGACATTCTGTTGTGCCGGCTTCTCGGGGCAGCGTACCAGTGGCTATGGCCGGATGGCATTCAATTTGTACCTTGGTAGTTCAGTAGTTATAGTAGTGGAGATGAGAGGAGTTTCGCCTATAGCCTCGAACACCCGTTGTCGGCCTCGACGTCAGTCGATCGGCATGCGTGGACAGCGGGTGCAGGCCATACTCTACCTCTTTATCGTAATCGTCCCGTGCGAGCCGTGAGTGCATTCGAGACTGTTCATGCCTCCTCTCGATGATTGTTGTACGGAGTTCTGCTGCTGGTGTGACTGGTAAGAATTCTGCTGCTGTTGCTGCTGTTGGGATTGCTGTTGCGAAGAGAGCGAACCGCACGTCACCATCATATAGGTCTTTTCGGCCTTACGACGGCGTCTCTTGTTGCAGATTTTCACCGCGCACACCGACAAAATGATTGCGACGAAGAAGAACAGGATTCCGCCCATCACTCCTGGAAGTTTCGATCGGTGAACTTGAGCTAGGATTCGCGGAGAACCCAGCGGCGTCATTTGCGATTGCGGTCAAAGCGCAACGACGGGAAAGGCGGTCTTACCCGAAATTATGGCCCGGTCTCTCCGATATTTCTGCGACAGATGACCTGTATCATTTCGGACTGTGACGTTTAAGAGCGGTGAGGCGTTTGTGGTCCCGAGACTGGAGTAAGCAACCACTCGGACCAGAAGTACTTTCGCCTCCCGAGGATACTCATTCACTGGAAGATTTAATTTTTCTGTCGTAGAAAACTGTCTATCGCCCCCATTCCCGGCAGCTGTTCTCTGGAGTAATCAGCTGTCAGGTTCGAACGTCCTGATCGGAGAGATAGACGAGGGGCGAACGGGTCGCATTAGAGCTTCGATAACTCACTGTGATATTGCATGAGACTCTGATTAGGGTCGGCGTGTACGTTGTGCGCCGATTTGGTCCACGCGTGGCTGATATCCTGTTTGTATTCTACGTTGAAATGAGTCAGCGGAGCAGAGTGGTTCGAAGGAGGAGGAACCTTCCAGCTGACCAAGAGCTCTTTGCCGACCTCCGTCGGCGGAAGAATGTTCACGTGTAATGGCACGTCTGGGGTGGGAGAGGGGGGCTCCGAGCTGAAAGCTACGTGCCAGGTGGGCTCAGAAACCTCTTCGGGGACTGCAGCGGAAGTTTCTCTGTTATCGGTTTGTGTAGCGGTGGGAGCATGAGTGGCTACAAAGTCTTCCGTTGCTCCGTGATTTTCCCCTGGTTCTGTGAATCGAATGACAGAGCTTGAGTATTGAACGACTTATTGCCTCAATCCTCTTCACCGTTTGAGCTGTGGGGAGGAAGGGGGGTGCGGGCTCCTGACAAATAAATTCGGACCGCCGGAAGCAGCGAGATAGGTAAGATATGAACGAGTAATCTCGGTGGCAGACTCACTGGCAGTATTGGCGAGGACTCGTTCGCTGAAGAAACCGTCGCCGACCTCATTACGAGATTGAACTTGGAATTCGTATGTGGTCTCGGGTTGGAGATTGTGGATCGTTATGCTGGTGACGTTGGTTGGATGCACCCGGATTGTGCGCCATTCTAGTTCCTTGTCTTCGGCTTTGACCTCGAGTCTGTACCACAAGACGTAGCTCTGCTCGTGTCCTCCGTCGAAGCCGGGCAACCAACTCACAGTCGCTGAGGAGCTATCGGTAATCACTGAGACGTTGGTCGGAGCGTGGGGAGTGGTACTTTCGACGAGGAGGAGACTCGACGTGACTAGGGTTGCAACCTCGTTTTGAAGTATACATTCGTAATGGCCGTGATCTTCCTTTTGAATACTCTTAAGGGTCAGGTTCCCCGAAGACACAGTTTTCACGATTTCTGTAATTGATAAGTTCACGAACATTACTCCAGATCGCGATGAGGGAGATTTCTATTTCGAGATGGGATTAGGTGGACTGGAATCAAGGACATTCTCGAATCTCGGTCCCATTTCGCTGCACATCCCCGCCTCTCCCACCGAGTCATTGACCCCGTATCATCCTTTGTCATGTTCGACGTATAATAGAATTGCCGTATTTTCTTTCCTTTTCTTTCAGCCCGAACACCTACGGGCATTCTCTATCGGAAGGACACGCTTCAGTATGCGCATCTATGGGAGAGCGTACAGCCCTGGACTGGTTGAAAAATTCTCGGGCACCCTCTTATCGTAGGGCACCCTTGAATAGACGGACGAGGTTCGAGGGGATCAGAAAATATACGGGCATGTCCTTCTAATACAGGAAATTCGGTAAATACGGTCGATGACTGGTCGGGGAGCTCTCCGCAGCTATGCATAATCGGTGATTCTCGAAGTCTGTTGGGTGGTCTACGGGGCTCCGAATAAATAATATTTGGGTCGGGATCGAGACGCGCTCTACTCAACCGTCTCAGTTAACATTAAGGTGACCCGGACGAGATGCGGGGGAGAGAGAGAGCTCGAGGGAGAGACTGAGGATCGAGGAACTGAAGGAGGCCAAAATCGTCGCTACAAATTGACGATCGTTCAGAAGCCTCGGACAAACTACCTTGACTGATCGAGAAGCGCTGCTTGGGCAAAGGTTTCCCGTCCGCTCTCCGCCAGTTGATCGTGGGCATGGGTTGACCTTTGCCTTCGCACACGAATGTGATATCTCCATTTTTCGGCTGTTGGTATATCTCTTTTGGCTTCACTGAGAACACAGGAGGCTCTCGAACCAGGACTTCCATGAGCTTCGATGCGCCCCCCGTCCCATGTATGTTGAATGGAGAGCACATATACGATCCCTGGAATGATTGGCACGTTCCGCGATTGACTAGTGGACTCGTATGCGTATCCCAATTTTCGGCGGGCATGCTTCGGATGCAGAAGAGTAACGCCGGACTGTGGTCAGGTATTTCCCTAGCTTCCGAGTTTTTTTGAGCGTTCGATTTTCTAACGAAAAAAATTCTCAAAGCTTTCAGGAACGCTGCTGAACTTCAAAGTGCTCACCTCATGCTCTTTCGAGACGTTGTCGAAATGAAGTGTTCCATTGGCCAATACTCTGACCCCGTTCATATTGCTCGGCTCGAATGGTTTCTTATCTTTGAACCAGGTTACGAACTGTAGAGGCGGATTCGACACTATGAAACACTTGACCATGCCGGGCAGGTGTAACGGCATATATTGGAAGTTCGGCGTGAAGTTCACTTTCGCCGGGAACTCGATGTTTACGTAGGCTGAAGCGCTTTCAGGTTCACCGATCCCTGGAATTGTTTCGTGAGAGAAGCCAGGAGTGAGTAGAATGCCGAGCGAGCGAGAGAAAGAGAGAGAGAGAGACGGAAGAAGCCGAATCTTCATCATGACGAAACGGTCGGCAATCCCTTGTGTCCGATTCGTCAAAGAGTTCTGACCGCGATCTGATCGATCCTGCGTCGACGAGGGAATACTACTCGGGACGTACGTGGGTGTTACATGTTCTAATAGTTCCTATTCACGCTCGGCTACGCTCGACTCACCATTGGAAACCACGCACGTGTACAAGCCGGAGTCGTCGGCATGGGTTTGAGTGATGAAAAGGGCTCCATCCTGCCGCTCCATGGTCCTCGTTTTTAGCCAGGTGAGTCCGGAGATCTCGACGTTGTTGTAAAGCCATTTGTGGGTGAAGTTCGCCGGCTGCGCTTGCGCTTCGCACTTGAGCTCGGCAACATTGTTCTCTGTGACAGTGATGTTTGATGGCTTCGTGTTGATTCTTGCCGGGCCGGCGATCATCACTCGGGACCGGACTTCCATGGCGCCCTGAGAGTTGCGCGCAACGCACTGATAGCTTCCTGTATCGCTCTCCTTTATGTTCGAGATTCTCAATTGATGCTCTGTGATTTGTACGTTTCCATCCTCTCTCGTGGCCTCGATGGGAACGTGTTCCTTCTGCCACGTCACCGTTGGCGTGGGAGTACCTGACGTTGAGATCGCGGGAGAAAAATGATCGGGAGAAGTTTTTACGCTGATTCTGACCGTCACGCATGGCTTGCCCACCGAGACATTGCGTCGCGCTCATGAGAATTTCCTGATTAGTTTCTTGGCTGGCCTTCCACCTACCTTGAGCTTTGCACTGTAGGACGATCGTTTCGCCCTCGCGGACGAACACCGTCTCCGGTGGCTTTGTTTTGAAATGAGGCGGGGCCAGAACATCGAGGTAGATCCACGAGCCGTTCTTGGCTTCTTCGCGATTGATGAAAAAAACTGTGCACTCATACCAGCCTTTATCGCTGACCCGTACACTGGTGAGGTTCAATGAAGTTTTGTCGGACAGGGAAACTCTGTCCTTGTACTCGTCCGACGCATGAGGTGGATAGCTTTCGTACCTTGGGGATCGAGGAGAATGCATGAACTCGAGGAAAATATGGAATTCCGTGATGTTTTCGATTTCCGAGATCTTCGCCTGACAAAGTCCGCGAGCGAAAGTTCGAGAGGCTCACCAAATGTATATTGGTATCCTGTGGTCGTCCTTGTGCCATTGCACCAAATACGGTACCGGAGTATCGTTTGGATACTCGAACGGACACTCGAGGATCACATTGTCGCCGATAGTCGACGTCTTATGTAATTTTCCGTCGGCTCCTTTCGGTGGTGCACTGAACACGCCTAGAAATCGAATACCGCCCTAGTACATGGACCTGTCCCCGATTCAGCTATGACGATCATTCCTCGATCTGCTTGATGTGTCTGGTGCGTGATATTGGGGTTATCGGAAGGTCCGGATCAGCTCCCGGGCTGTTGGGATCTGGGGAGATTTGTCCACCGCTAAGGGTTTCACGAAGTTCTGAGCGAGCTTCTACGCCTCCTATGACCCGATATCGGAGCTCGTCAAGGTCCGGGTTCGCAAGAGATAATCTCCCTCTCCGAATGCATTCGATGGGCTACTTTTTTCTGGGCTTCGTCCCCAGTTCCAGCTGCGATCGGTTTTGAACCGTGGCGGATCGACGTGCTTAGAACTACTTGTCGAGAATTCGCTTCTCCCCGCCTAGCGGGGAACGGTTCCAAGCGACAAGACAGGCTTGCGACCTTGGACTGCGGGGCTCGATCTTCAGTCGAGAGTCTAGAAATAGTCAGATGGGCGTCTGTATCGAATGGCTCACGACAAGAGTTCCCCACTGAGGGACTCCAGGCTCTGGCAACCAGAGTGACCTGTTGGTCTGGAGATTTTCTTCCCCCTGATAAGACCCCTCGGGATTGCGCTAATCCTAATCGGACCTTCACAATCGAACGAGACGAATTCTGCTCTGGTCCCGACCTCTGCCAACAACGAGCACTTGAAGTTTCTAGGAATCAGAGTGAAAGATCGAGAGCGAGCAGTTTCGTCGCCAGGTCTCGGATCCTGCCAAGAGGCTGAGGCCTATATTTTCGAAGTCGCTGTCGAATGTCCGTCTGTGAGTGAGTGGAGGAACCTACCTGATGTGACCACGACCATAAGGGCGGCCAGAGGCCATAACCGGTTCATGGTCTGTCTCTCCGCGCCGGTCAACTCTCCTTCAACATCCCGCGTAGACTTCTATCTGAACTCGTCCACGCTTTTTGATTTTAGCTGTTCACATGGACATGCAATGCGATACCACCAGTACTATTGAGAAGCCGCCATACTTGGAAGGGTCATGGAGCGGGAGAGCTTGCGCATGCGCTGCCGTCCCCATACTGCTACGTTTTCGGCTCCCGTCAGGCCATTCTGTCGTCCTGTCTGCTCGCTTGCAGTCGACACGGTGATTTGTCAGGGCAAGCTAACGGCATGTCTATACGGTATCTTGCCCACCAATCCTGTAAAGAAGCGGCTTTTCGACGGAACGACCAAGCGGGGGTTTTCCCTAGGTCCGCATATGTCCCCGATTTCGGTTTCCCGGATCCCCGGTTTCCCCGATCCAACTCTGACGGACCGTTCTCTTCTGCAGGAAGCCGCAACAAGCGACCAAGAGCCCATTTTACGACTTGTGGTCTTTCTTCCCCGGTGAACTCGAGGCGGAGGGTGCCTCTCGTCCCTTCGGCTCACTCCGAGTCGAATCGGGTTCTCAGACACATCATTCCTCCGTTGATCGAGCCGAGTTTTTATTTCGGAAAATTCAATAAAATGCCAATTTGCATGATTCGCGGAAATATCGAAACGCTCCAACCTTCTCCTAATCTCCGCCGAGGTCCGTATCGCGAGATTTCTAGCGTCCTTCATAAGATCTCCCTGCAGTGGCGGAGCCCGGGAAATTGTCAATGGGGAAAGGACATGGGAGATGAGGCCAGCTCCGTTTCCCATTCGCTATAGACAATTTTCCTGGCGCCGCCACTGTCTTTCGGATTCGTGAGGTGAAACATGAACTTCGTACTTTACAAAGAAGAAGATCATGCAGAGCAAGATGACTCGTATCGTAAGTAGATCAATGTTTTATTAATTTCACCATCTCCTATATGATTCTGCCGGACGGGGAGAATACAACGATATTGCTCCTGTGTTGTTCGGGCTCCTACTGAGAGCTCGGAAAATATGCGACACAATTATGTGAGATGCGTGACGTTGAGCCGTCTTCTGTATGGGGGCAACTAATTGAATGATAGGCGGCGGACTTTCTCTATGGCCAACAGGCAGTCTCAGAAATATCAGACGATGGTTGACCGGCTGTCTTACCTGTAAAAACAAAATGAAATCGAGAATTGAGCAACGGTGAGATGAAATCAGAAATCCTCACGACTCCCTGATACTGAATTCGCGTTCACTATTCGGCTGGACTATTCGTGAAGGATATCTATGAGGGTCCCACGCGCTGCGAGGCCTCTTGCATGGTAGTCTCGATCAAACCTATGTTCTGACTTTTCAGCCGATGATCACGCTCGTTAGCCTCTGCCCCCGTATGAATGCTCGATGTTCTCTCTTCGATGGATGAGTCAGATAAAAAAATATTCCATGACACCGATCTTACAATTATCTTACAATTAGATAAATTCCATGTAGCTAATTAGAGAGCATACCGTCCATTGCAATGATACACGGAGACCTCATCAGCTGTGTGAATGAAGTTCCTAATAGCGTCGGTATCCTGACGATGAAGACATCCCGAATCCGGATGACGAGGAGCCGCCGCCACCACCACCACTACTACCACCACCACCCAGGAATCCTCTGCTCGACTCTTGTTGAGCGTAGGCCGGCGGGAAGGCAACCCGGGCTGGCAACGTCCAATGGGGAGCCGACGCGGCTTGATCTATCGGCCGCGGAACAGCCGAAGCTCTCCGATTATCCATGTAAGAGCTCGCACTCGTAGCCGACGTCTGCTGGCCCCTCCAAGAGTCCGCTGCGTTCATGGTCGCCTGACCTCGATAATCCGCCGATGGGATTTGGTTGTAAGCTCCGTTCGATCTCTGCGGTGACCTCGATCGCTGACGTTTCGATGGCAAGCTCTCACTCCTCGACTGATCCAAGTAGTCTCCTCGGGTCTTGATCTCCTGCGCGCCCCACGGTTCCAAGTACGCTGGCATGCGACGTTCGATGCGGGGACTGGTGACGAGCGGCGGCTCTCTTCGGCGATCGTCGCGTCGCCGGTCGTCGTGACGCATCTGGACCGGTTCCCGCTGCAGAGCCGGTCCCAAGCGCCCGCTGAATTTCGCGTCGACCTGACTCCTGTTGTACTCTTCGGCGAGAGGGACTCTGGGATCGTAGAGCTCCATCGTGGGATCCACATGACCCACGTGTTGCGATGACTGCCTGACGGACTCCCTCGGCCTGCGCTCCAGCTCGATGCGAGCCTCTTCGCGTTTTCGTTGCTCCTCTTCCTGTTGTTGCTGCTGCTGCTGTTGACGATGCAATTCTTCCTGCCGCCGCCTCTCGGCCACTTCCTTACGAGCGGCCACCTCCTCCATCTCCTTTTTCACTCGTTCCCGCTCGAGGCGGATGAGCTCGAGCTTCTCTCGCTCTAGACGCTCTCTTTCCAGACGCAGCTGTCGCTTCTCTCGTTCCAAAGCTTCTGTCTCGGCCCGTTGACGTCGTTCGACCTCGATGCGTTCTGCTTCAAGTCTGCGATCCATGATCCTCATCGGCGGGCGTTCCATTATCGACGGCGGTCCGTGTAAGAAAGGAGCCGGAGCTGAATGTCCGAAAGGCGAAGGACTACGGGACCGGGTGCGATGACCGCGAATCGGTGGACTTCGTCTCCGTGGGGGATCCGATCTGGCGAACCTTCGGGGCGGGGGTCCGGACGGAGGCCGCCGCGGAGGCGCTTCCGGTCTTCGTCTACTGCTGATCGGCGAGCGGGACCTCCGTCGATCGGGAACGGGTCTGCGGTCGTCTTTCTTGAAATCTCGCTTCGAGTCACGGACTTTGTGCGAGTCGTCGTTTTTCTTCCTCTCCGATTCCTTCCGTTTGCTGTCTTCGACTTTCCGAGCCTCCTCTCGCTTATGGGTCTCCTCTTCGATTTTCTGTCGACGTTCGGCCTTACGTTTTCGGAACTCCTCCTTTTGTTGAGCGAGTCTTTCGCGGTTCTTCATCTCGACCTTGCGTAACTGGTCGGCGGGCGCTAGTTTACAAACTTCGACCTCGATGAAGTTCCCCTCGAAACGAGTGCAATGCATTTTCTCAACGCATTTCTGGAGGTCGCTCGCGCTCTCCACCGTGATGTAACCGTAGCAGTGGGCGCTGTTCGTGCGCGCGTTCGCAACGATTTTCGCCGAGCCGACATTAGCGTACCTGGTGAAGAATTTCTTCAGATCGGCGGCCTTGCAACGCGACGACAGTCCGCTGACCCAAATGTGGTTCCCGGGGACTTCTTTGTACTGCGGGACCGCTTGCTGGGTTTGTCCGCTGGGCTTCTTGTCTTCTTTTTTCGTCGGAACGGCCGCGCTGGCGGCTTCCTTTACTGGAACCGAATTGTTCGACGACGCAGCCGTGGTTTTGCTCGTTTCGTGTTTCGTCTCGGTCGGCTTGCTGTCGTCCTGGTGCTCCTTGACGACGATGGGTTCGTCCTCCTCTTCCTCGTCTTCGTCCTCAGCCTCGAGCTCGAACTCGAAAGTCGTCGGCTCCAAACCCTCCTCGATCATAGAGTCGGTCAAACGTTCGTGGAGAATAGCGTAATCGTCTCCACTGAAGTCCAGATTGCGTTTTTCGAGCTCGCACTTGATTTCGTCGAGCGAAAGTTCGTCTACTTTCTTCCTGACGACGTACGTGTCACCGACGATCTCGTCGCTGACGACTGCGTCCACCTGCTGTGTCATTGTGCTCCACGGTCGCGGGGACACCTGCTCGATACGAGGTAGGATGGTGCCTTGGTCGTATGCACTAATGCTTTTGAAGCTGCGGCAAATCGCTTGCAACCTAGAATGGTAAAATATTTATTCTCGAATTCTCCAAGACGATACGACGCTTCCCGAGGCTCTGGTCTCCCAACCATTCGCCGGGTCCTAGGACCGGAATTCGCTACGTGACGGAGAAGTGGAGCTTTACGATTCGAGTAGCGGAGCTTCTGTCGACGGATTCACCTCTGGATCCACCTTCCGGACTGAGGTTATGGAGATCGGACTTCTCGCACAGGAGAGTATTCCTACTCGACAGCAGAGGTCGGTCAAGGCGGAGAACACGCTCGGCGGAGAAACCTGACAAGACGCTGGCGTTCTCAGAAATCGTGATACGGAATAGGTACCTCTTGTTTCGCATTTTGACTCGAGAGCCTCATCGTTGAGCGATAATAATCTGGAGTCTATTGATCTCGGGTGATAAACTTCGGAGCGATCCCACCCGCTCGAGACTCTCCCGTTTTCCCCACGACTCATGGATATCTCATCACATTGAGTCGAACTCCGGGGATCGGCTTCGTTTTGGTAACGGAGAGCGGTGGAGGAACAGTGGACTGAACCAGGATGGAAACGAGCCGTTTTATCAAAGGAGCTAGACCATGCAATCGCTGAGGAGCAGGAGCGCGTCGAGAGTTCGGCTCTGCTCATCGCCATCGACTCGACGACGGGTGCCGCCTCGATATCCGCAATCCTCGTGCATCGACCATCCTGCGATCGCTTTCCTCATGCCTCGTTTGGAAGAAGATTCGCGCTCGCCCCACGTGTACGCGGTACTCGTGCGAAATCGTCGAGACTCGATCGACAAACATCCGATTTCAGAGCGAGGAATTCTCTACGAGCCGTTCGGATATTCCATCACGACAAGGATTCGTCTGATATCGCACGGAACTCCAAGCTAAAGCTGTGCGGCCAGTTGCTCTCGGCTGGAATGTGATTCTCGTCGATTCGGAGGTTCGGGATTCCCGATTGAGCCTCGTGGCGTTCCGGAATTCCATATTGGCAATGAGCAGTGCACGTTTACGAAAGGCGAATAGAGTTCACAATCATTTATAAGATCACCGGAAGCATGAAAGCTTCGCAAACTCAGGTCATCCCCCAGCTCGGGTACTCACCTTCGATGGTTTTCCACGGACTATGCTCGACGCTAACGAGAACTCCTACCACAGAGCAGCCAAGAGGCTTCCCGATTGGCAATCTCTCTTTCTCGTCCGAGCACTGTGATATCGCTTCAAGTAGCAGGCTCTTTCTTCCTACTTCAACACAACAACACAACAAGGAATGAGAACAAGATGGCGGCGCTCCCCCTCTCCCACGCGATTCAGCGGCGCGAAAGCGCTCTCACTTCGAGTTCTCTGCGCTACTCTCTCTCAAGTTTTGCTCTTTCTAAATATCCGAGCTCATGAGCTTTTCGTCAATGGAGATTCCGGTGATCCTGTGACGCTCATAGTTCAGAATCAGCTTCCGTATCGGTACTGATCCGCCCAGCAGCTGAACTAGGATATCGAATCGACGACTGGAGGATACCCATGTACGATGTGCGAGAACATCCAATCTAGAGAGAGCGTGTCTCGTGGGCGACGGGCCCTCTCGGACACTCGGCTCGCGGCGAGCTGGAGAATCATTCCGTTTTCGGTTTAGCGAGCTCGAAATCAATTGACGTGACTCCACGAACTATTCTAGGATAGCCGATGAAAAACACAGCTTCATGCGCATATTGCAAGAGCTGAAACTGCACCCACTCTCATCTCACGAGACGATGAGGATGCGGAGAAACCATCACGGCGAGTGGTATCTATCTTACTGGTTCTCCCATTCCGGAAAGATCGCCGCGCGGGAGAAATCTGGAAACCCACATGATAAAACATTCTTTCTCCTGCATATAATCCGAGCCTAATTTCGCGGCGATCGAGTTAATCTTGAAAATTGCCGAAACAAGCCACTGTGTGTATCAAGTGTGATTAGGCTCTTTGTGACAAACATTATCGAAAAAGTCAATGCCCGTAAGTTCGGAGGAGTATGTATTCCCAGACATCTCAATGCTCAGATCTGAGCTGCAAACGGAGATCGCCGCCAGAGATGGTTTACTCTTGCCCTCGGATGAGAAACCACGGTCGAATGTCGCTTCTCCTCTAATAACTCCGATTATCTATCGCCGAAAAGGTTCGGTGAGACTACTGGCGAATTATTCTCCCCGTCCCGAAAGACGTCGTGACAAAGGAAACCGCTGGCTACAATCGAGATTCGCCGATGGGAAATCCCTCGATTGAGATCAACGTAGCACAGAGTCCTCGACTTATGGAACGAGGAATACACCTCCGGTCAGTATCCCGCCGTCCTTTCACTCCATGCCGCGACCGGAGTATGGCAACGGAGAAGCTTCTTCGGCTCCTCAAGTAGCTCTTCCCATGAGCCGGATGAGTCTTCATACCTTGCGATAATAAGCGAGGGATGAAACGGAATCGAGCTCATGATTGCAGAGAAAAAGGGGGTTGGCGGACCCCCGAAGTGACCGATCTCTGAGAGCTACGTGATTTTAGACTCCCAGAGGTACTCCTCCTCTAGGACCGACCAAAAGAGAAATCCATCCGCCATCCGATTAGGATTGATAGATTCCACCCCGCCCCGAACTTCAATCGTGCCTGGCACGAATGCGGGCAAGCGTGCCTTGCATGCAAGAATATCTATTCGACAGGCGCGTCAGAGCATGTGGGCGCAAGAGATACTGGGGAGGCTGAATCCGCGGTCTCGAGCATGCTTATTGAGAGTGTCCCGGAACATCATCAATCCGACGACTTCAACACCTAATCCATTCGTGATTTGAATTCTTGAAAGAGCAGATGAGTATGGCGCTGGAGTAGGACGAGGATCTCGATTTCTCGACTCCGCATGATATTCCACGAGGAATACACTCGGAAGCTTCCAAATTGAGTGCGCTCTTGCTTTCCTCGGTGAAAGATTTCGCTCAAGATTTTTGCCCCCGCCAAGGAAAATCCAGCTCACGTCACTGTCTCACGATTAGAGTCATGATTATCAGGGAAGCTTGGCAGCGGCCTCGGCGGATCACACGAACAAGGGTCCGGAACTCAATCGGTGAGATTCGAGTCGCTTTGCCGATTGTTGTCCGGTGCGGAGGCATTGATAAGGATCAACCTTTTCCTCGGTGTGCCGATGTCCGGCTCGGACCTGAAATATGTGAGCCTGATTGTAGCATCGCGAACACCGGCTCGACGCTCGAAGAGGCGAATCAATTGGTGATTCACATCTTTCAGATCAGCGCAGAACCGCTTGGGATCGTGCGGCAAATGTCGCACCATCATACCGGGCGTCAAATCATTCACCTTGCTTAGTGGGGCTTTCCGGTCGAGGTTGGAACCTATGGCCCGGATCCGCACAAGCTTCGACCCCGAACGGATCGGTCCCTGGCTTGAAATTTCCTCAGGAAGACTGACCTGATTGATAATGAATGGTGCTTATGTAGCCGTAAACGCTGGTCTCGTGTGCCCTGAAGAGCCTGAGTCTTTGACGAGACTCCGGTCGGCAAGGAGGGATTAGCTACGATAGCCTCGCCTTCAGTCATCACAAATGGACCGATAGCTATGTACATTTATCAGCTTCCTATATCCCGGTATAAATAAAAGTCGTCTGTAGGAGGATCCGGTCAGCGACCTGATCGGATATGGACCGAAAACCAATTGAATACGCTCATTCAGAAGACATCCTGCTTTTTCAGGATTGTAAACCACGGTTTCCTGCTGATAGAATTAGTCAGGGGCCCTTATTTTGAATCTTGGTAATCGCGGTATTCTGCTATGGGAGCAACCCAAGAGATCGTGAAATCTCATTTCAACCCTTATGGTGGGTATGAGGAATTCGCGATGCTGCGCTCTCGGGGTTCAGCTTCACGGTGTCTCGCCATTGAGGTTTCTCGAGAGACCGCGGACCGCGATTCATTTTCTTCGGCGCACCAATTTTCTGCCGATAGAGAGTCAGGGGAACTCGCAAAAAGGGGTCTGGCGGACTCAGATGGTTGTAGGGCTCAGTTTTTGCGCGCTGCAGGCGCTGCGGTCATTCCGCGCCCGAGGAATTCAACTCTGGCCCCCCTCCCTTAGGACGCTGATGCCCGTCAGTCGTTCCGTAATCAACTAATCTATGATCACCAATTAAGGAGCTCGGGCACGATCAGGAGGAGAACTCGTATCATGGATATCTCCCCGAATTTCTAAGCTCAGCCGTTGAGGCGGTCGAGCGCTCAGCGCGCATCGTACTTGCGGCGGTACTTCGTGGGGGCGGCAGCGTCGCTGCTCGAACGCTGGATGAGCCGATTTCGATCCCGGCTGCCGGGAGATCAATAGGTTCGGCGATATACATTCGCTCTCCAAGGTCCATGCACGGGAGCACAACCTCGCTGGTGCCGACAAGGACCTTAAAGTCAGGCTGTGTGGTCCACCCAAGAATAACTAGACCATAAAAATAAGCGTCGAGGTCGACTCCGCGATCTAGGCGAAGAAAACTTGAATCCAGGTCCATCAGACTTTCACGGCGGAAAAAACGGAATCCACGATTTCAAGCTTCCCAAAATGAAAAGGCTGGCGCCGTGCACTGTTCTTGAGAGCGGCTAGTGGACAAAGCGCTAAAAGATCGTCGATTGAGCGCGTGCGCGTCTCAGGGATTCGCGATCCTGCAGACGAGACGAACACCCCCTTCCGCCACCTTGCTCCGCGGTCAAGTGACGAAGAGCAGCGTGAAAGACTGCGCCGCTCTCGGGCTCATTCCGCCGATTTCGACTCTCCAGTAAGACTTTGTTCGCGACGCGACTCCAGCGGGTCCCGGTCTGCGAGAGCCTTCATATTTCTGATTGTGAAACAGGCCCCGAGAACTCCTCCAGTCAGGAAACTTGGAGAAAATCGCTCATGCCCAGCCAGGGGTGTACGCAGGATATTTTTGGGGGGAGGGGCTGAAACCTTTCCTACGCGGGCGCCGTCTTATGATAGACATACTGATCGAGGACGCAATTTATATATCGAGGATGAGTAGTTTAATATGATGAGAGTCAATGGCGAGTATTCCTCGTGCCTCGTGCTCTCACTCATTACTCAATGATTCGATGGTCTCGAGGATGGTACCGGGGCTCCGAATGATAAAGCGGTCGCCCTATAGACGCATCGTCGATCTCCGATTACGGAGCTCATCCCCAAAGGTGTGAGCATTCGTTCCATGGAAGGATTTCATCTGTAATTCAAACATTTCGGCCCTCCTTCTCTCCCTCCCTCGGATGCCGGAGCCATCGGTATATCAAGTCGCCTTCGATGGTCTCCTGGGGGGTTTCTCGTGAGACCTGTCAAGGAAGTTCTTCTTACGGTTCTGATCTCCCCCCTCCTCTTCCTATTCCCGTCACCTCATTCCCTCCATATTTTCCCCAGGCTCGCCTTATCCCATATGTCTGCGTTCAAGAGTATTTTCACGATTAGCTGCTCTGGTCATGGTGGTTCCGCCTCTGGGAGAGCTTTTCGAGCCGAAGCTTCACAATTGAGGGATAAGCTCGACAGCGCTTCGTATTCGCCTCAGACGCGGACGAAATTGAGACGAAGGAAAGCCCAGATGACGGACCAGCTCCTTTCGAGCCCGAGTCAGAGTCCGATTCCCTGTCGGTTCGGACGGACCAGATGGTGAACCATTAAGAGTCTTCATATTCATTCTTTCCGGAAGCGGCCATTCGGTCTGACGTCGATGGATGAGTATTCAATTTGGCGCTCACCATCAAATGTCTCCATCGAGATCTGTCGTCGGACTCGATGGTTCTTTGTTGACGTGCTGCTAGCTAGCTGTTGCTAGTTGCGGCCGCTTAAGAGGAGGATATAGACTAAACGTTCGCTGCGTTCGATCCTGGTTCGGATTCATATCCGCCGTCGACAAAAGTGGTGAACATCAAAATGGTTTCGGAAAAAGACAGTGCCGTTCGATGACAGCACAGTTCTGACTGGGAGCCGAATCCGTGATGACCGACATCCAGTGTTCGGATAAACCGCACGGATGCCAAATCCTTTGACTGAGTCTTTCTTCCTTAATACGGCGAGAGCGGGGCGGTGTCAAGCTCCAGACTCCAGACGATACAGCTACTATCAGCGTCAGGACTGAAGGGGGGCCCTGCATCTTAAATGTCGAGTCTGAGGTCGTGACCGGAGTCCGCTGTCATCGCTCTGATCCGGGACGGGTGTACGGACCCGTGATTGGCTCAAAGGATCACGCGGTCGTCTCCGGAGTTTCCATCATGAACAACACACTCGTCGAACGACGAAATCTCATCAGTCTAGTGAAACTTTGCGTCCGAGATTTGCTCGACTCGGCTCTACAGAGTGATAGGCGCGAAATCAGTGGAGATTGCGTCCACCTCCAAAACTTCCTCAATCTGATTGAGACGGTTCTTCGGCACCAAATCAGAGGTAGATTCCCCCGTGGTCGAGCCTAGGTTGGATGACCGTGGGAAAAACTTCAATGGATTCTCCCTGACCTTGCAGCTTCGGGTAAACGTTCGATGATACCTGGGCTCCTGCCGTCTTCCGATGCCTCTGAGAAATCCCTGTGGAATCTCTTGGAGTCTATCCCTGGCGCAGAGAAAACGGCTGAGAACGCTCGACACATACCAACGATACAGAGCTACAGAGGGAAATGCAGAGCTTGGATTCGCTTGGCTCTGATGCAAAAACAGCTCGCCGATTACGTTTCGAAAATGATCGACATGGACCTCTTGTCACAGGTGATGCTTCGAGCCATGGAACATATCCTAATTTATTGTTCTGAAAGCAATGAATACCCATCCTCTCGAATGATCGATGCTATCACGTTCCAGTTATATCACGAGTCGGCTCTGCTGAGAAACGATGAGTTCGCTCTGCTCTGCGGACTTCTAGTCGGTGTCAATGTCGTTGATTTCAACTTTTGCCTGAAGGACGAAAATCTAGATTCAATCGATACCACCGTGAACTTCGAACCTTACCTCCGAAGGGATGTTTACTCTATGTTCGACGAGTAAGTTCCGAAACCTGCTGCTCCCGACTCCGATCAACGGGATAAATCTAGCCGAATTCGTGATGTCGCTCGCTAAACGACTTCTCCTACCGCAGGAGGACTGAATCGAAAAACTCCTCTCCCGACGAGTTTCAGAAAGTTCTGGATCAGAAGAACTATACAGAAGAGCTCAATAAACAGTTGACGACGAATGTCGAGAACCTCCGCAAGGAGAACGATGAACTGAAGGCGAAATGTCACTCAATCGACACCGCAGACGACCTAGCACAACAATTGCATGACGTGAAAAAAATCAACCTGAAGCTGTTCGAAAAATTACAGGTTTGTCGTCGTTACGGGCTGCCTCGAAGCCTTGAGGCAAGCTCGGATAATCGCATTGGTGGTTCCGAATCAATGCATCGTTATGTGACCTAGGGTCCTGCAGTTCTTGAACGACGAAACTCAATGCCGTCGACTTCCGCGCGCTAATGACTGACTGACTCCACGTCGTCTGCGCTTGCTCATCATCATGTCTATCCGTAACCCGTATTTCCTCTCGGTGTCAGCAATCCTCCGCGGTCTTTGTTCCCCGAATTCGGCTCGGGAACCTCATCACTCATCACTCATCGCAATATGATGCTTTTCCATTCACAGGCTGCCAGTCTCGAGAAAGACAACCTTCAACAAAAGTTGACTTCCGTAGAGAAAGAACGGGACGACGTGAGTATCATGAATGCATCATTTCTGATTCGGTCGAGATGAACTGGATCGGAAATACTGGCATGAACATTCTAAAATATTTCCCCAAACTCTTCGAGAAAAAATTCGGAAGGCTTTCTCAATTCCTCAAGGCTGCGGTGCGCTCGAATGAGCTGGAATCACAATTGCTCCTGATCGAGATGGAGCATCGGCAGTCACGAGACGCTCAAGAAGATCTCAGCGATTGTAAACAGCAAGTAATGACACTCGAGAGTGATTTGAAGATCGAACGCGAATGGAGGAAACAATTGCAAGGGACCAATCGCCAACAAGGAGACAGGATTGAGCAGCTCGCTGAGGAGGTGCGGTATTGCCAGCCTTATTAGGTTTCGGGCTCGAACCCGTGTCGAACATGAATATGAATCGTCTTCCCGCTCAATCTGCAGGTGGCGCTCTTGAAGTCTCAAGTCAAACAATATGAATCGTATCGAAGGAAGTGCGATGATTTGGACAAGACTCTCGAAGAGATGGGCGCCAAGCTTTGCGACGTCCAAATCCAAAAAGAAGAGCTCAAGGAAAAGGCCAACAACAGTAAGCTTTTTCTAATACTATTCGCTCCCGGCTCAGAATAATATCGGGCTTCGCTCCGCTTTCCTATCTGCGACAATGAGGCCTTAAGAGTGGTCTCCCTCGTCAGGCATCAGTACCTGGCAAGACGATAAAGAGGCTGAAGTCTGCACGGCTTGCGAGAAAACGTTCAGCGTTTCCCGTCGGAGACACCATTGCCGGAAATGCGGCCAAATATTCTGCGGTCAGTGCAGTGAAGGAAGCATGCCACTGATCCGAGGCGGGAAACCAGTGCGAGTTTGTGATGCGTGCCAACAGGAACTCCTGCAAATGTACTCTGTCAACAGCGCAGCCGTCCAACCGCGGAAGAATAGTCTCAAGTCAACCTCGAAATAGACGCCACGTGCTGTCGTTAGCCTTTCCCAGAAATGGTGTCCCATGACGAGGCGATTTTCTGGACGCTCTCGAGAAATTTATGTATCTCGGGAAGCTCCCGCATCTGTTTTAGAAATGGTCCCGAGGGGGCGATCGTATCATGTTGACGCTTGGTGCTTAGCTGTTCATCTTCCACGGTGAACCTTGTATAAATGCTTGAGAATTTTTCGTGCGACAGCGAGTCTTTCCTCTCGATTTTGAGCGAAAAACCTGGGAAGCTGCGTTTGCGTAATCGGGATGAGCTTGGACGTTCCTGGAGGTGGGCTCGGGAGACATGACTGCTCTGAATCCCGATCGAGTCCATGCGGAATTTCTCTGTCCAAAGCGCGCCGGTCATTCTTTCGATAGAACCGGGTGGCTTGGGCGGCGCTCATAGACGTCATATGATCAAAACGACTCCATGATCAGCTACGAGCTAGTGAATTTCGTCATTTATTCTTCTCTCGGTCTAATCGCGGGTCTCTTTCACTTGGGGAGAATCCCCATCATGTTCTAAGGGTAACGGTCTGGAGATCTCCTGACTCATATCATGCCCCACGGAGCGATAGCGGGTGAATCTACAACATTTTCTCATATATGTACAGATATAAAATCGATTTCAGGACCAGAAAAATCCACAAAAATATACAGAGACCGCAGGACAAAGGCACACAAAGAGAAATGTCTGCTGAAACTAGAAATTCATTGACAGAGGTGGTCGTCTTGGTCTTGCTTCGAATCCCAGCCAAGTTCCTACCAGATGGTCCAACTTAGAAACCGGACGTGGATCTCTGGCGTCGGAGGAATTCCGAGGAGGACGTCGAGACACATCGGAAACATAGACCGTGATCGTATCGCGATATGAGTACCAACGAGTGGTAACATAAGTACTCGGAGACTTCCGATGCTTTTCACACCACACGGCCCGCGATCAGAAACGATTCTTTCTCGGTGTCCGCTGCCCGATGATGAAGGCATCCGTATTTCGCAGAATCCAGATTCGCAGTGTGCTCAATCGTAAAACTCCGCTGGATGCTCTTTACTGTTTTCAATGAGGGGGTCTTCGTCAACGTCTGCTAGGTCCACGATATCAGGCGGCACATCCTGCATTTGGACGGACGGTGCGTGTTCCAAACATCGAAGGTTTTCGGTGGTGTATCTGAAAATGTAGAATACCGTGTTCTTAGACGTGGAAACTGCACGGAAGATTCCTAGAAGTATCTCTCGGGGAGCTGTTCCTAAATAGGGAAAAAACATTTCCACGCCATTAATGGCTCCTGAGAGACTCACTTGAGGATTGCTTCGAGATACTGCTTCGAATTCGCGTTCTCCTGTCGTGTGATCACATCGGGGAACAAGGAGAAATCCGGCGCGAAGAATTCCAAATATTCATTGTAAGGTATTTCAGGCGAGACCTGCTCATTGACCAAAATCGCGGTTTCGTTGGTCCAGGCTCGAGCGACGTTGCGGAGGGTGTATCCCCCACCGCCCAACACGAGCAGCGGAATGTTGAGATCTCTGACGAATTTCACACAGTCTCCGTGTCCTTTGATCGACAGATTGAAGCATCCGAGTCGGTCTCCAGCGAGTGAATCAGCTCCGCATTGTAAAACGACGGCTCCGGGCCGATAATGGTCGATCACAGAAGAGATAACTGTCTTGAAAACTTGGAAGTAGGACGCATCGTCGATACCTGCAAAATGGGAAAAAAACGTTCGGAAACCCGCCGAAGTTGAAAATTCCAGCGTCTGGGTATATTCTGTATTCCGGAGCCATCTTCCACGAAGGACGACGGACAAAGTGAGAGACGATGTGGCATTCCAGAGTTGCGACCTACCCTCTTTCAGAGGCACGTTTAGAGCGTAATATTTCCCGGATTCCGCGCCGACTTCGTACATATCTCCCGTCCCAGGGAAGAAGTAAGCGCCATATTTGTGCAACGAGACTGTCATCACTCGGTCTGTCAGATAAAACGCTTCTTGTACCCCATCGCCATGATGAACATCGATGTCGATGTATAGAACGCGAGCGTAGGTTTTAAGCAGCTCCAAGATAGCAACCACGATGTCGTTTATGTAACAGAAGCCTGATGCCTCGAACTTCTTGGCGTGGTGAAGTCCACCGGACCAGTTTATGGCTATATCGCAGGTTCTGTTGTTCAATCGCCACGCTCCTGGAGAAAAAATTCTACGTGAGAACCAGTCGTTCCACAATACAGAGGAGAAGTTCGGATTCGCCGTCGATAGTATTCTCGATATGTTCCGCCTTGGTAGCCGGGGAGAGGATGGCGCCGAATGCTTGATTTTTTTGACGGATCCGAAATCGTACCCAAAGTCTAAAGTTTGATAGCTTACCGTCTATCGAAGCACCGGTGTATAAAGAACAAAAGTCGTAGAGTCCCGAAAAGACTGGACAATCATCACCAACGTTGAATAGCGTTTCTTTCTTATCGAAAGATTCCATGTTCTGCGGCGTTATCCGCTGCAGGAAATTCACATATTCCTCGCTATGGAACTTGCACATGTCATGAGGGTTCGCTCGGTACGGGCGGTAGATCCGCATTTTTCTGTGGAGTCCATAATTCAACACCAGACTGTGAGTCACTGCAATTCGTTGTGGTTTCATCGGATGACCGGGTCCGTAGTGGAAGTTGCCGACGTCCGGATCCCATAGATAGACAACATCTCGCTTCGAGGACGAACTCATGGCGCGCCGCTCTGAGCTCGGCGGCTCGCTGTTGGGTGCACGGAAATCCGGAACGAGACACAGATCTCTATTGCGTCCTCGACAGGAATCTGTTTGCTCCTGGTATCTTCTCCCCTGCACGCTGAAGTTTTTTTCAGGAATTGTTTTTGTTATTGCGCTCCCCCAAACAAGACGACGACGCTGCTGCTGCTTCTCGATTATGTCCATCGAATACTGCGGCTGAACCGCACTCTCCTCTCAAACCGATCCCATCCGACTACCGACTACACAGCGATGATCTAGACACGGAAACGGGTAAAGGTAGAATCTCGAGATCATTCAGCCCCTCTCCGACACGACGACGTTTTACAGTGGGACAGCATAGGAAACGTTTATTCCGTTGCCGACGCCGACGGGCTCACGGTGGCGGGGACTTGTGTGTGTGGGTGTCATCCGGCTGTAGCAGACGGATAATGACTATTTTAACACCGCTCTGTTGTGTGTTGTTATTATCATTTTTTTTTGTATGGCAGGCTCTCTTGTTGAATCAGCTGGCTGACTGTCACGGGTTGGATTCGAATACCGAGTATGATGAGACGTGAAGTTCCTTAAATTATCGGTGGCGGACGCTGTCTTCCGCGACGCGACTGATCAGAATGACGAGCCAAAGCGACCTGGAGCATTACGAATGGCGTGCGAAAGGCCGGAAGTTGGACTGTGTGAACTCTCTGAGCGAATTCGCTCCACTCCCAGCCGCAGCCAGCGAAGTCGAGCCCCCGAAAACCTCAACCCTCAACATGGCTAGTCAGTTGCTTTACAAAGCGGCCAGCACAATCGTCGGGGAAACGTCGCCGCAGAAAGATGATCAAGATTCGATTGCGGAGGCGAAGCATACGATACTGCAGAGGATTACTTCAATCCTCGATCAGGGTGGAAAAGTTTCGTCTTCCGACTTGAGTGACTCAGCTTTCAAGCAATTCTGGATGCCCGACAGCAACTGTAAAGAGTGCTACGAGTGCGGGGCGAAGTTCACGACGTTCAAGCGACGACATCATTGTCGGATATGCGGCAGGATATTTTGTGCCAACTGCTGCAATCTGGATATGATCAAGAAACACAAGGACGACATCGATCTCCGTGTGTGCCAATACTGTGCCGCTGACATTCTCAACTACCTCCGGTAAGCTCGGCTTCGAGCCAGCCGGTGGCCCGATCTCTACGTGTGCTCACGCTCCCAGGGCTCCTCGAGAACCCTGCCACGGAGTTTTGTCGAGTTCCTCGCTCACGAATGCCGTTTCTTACAGATCGAAGAACACCGGGAGAGCGACCGAGACTGCGACCGTGGACCCGAGCCGACGGGATTCGGTGTCTTTCCGGGAGGAGGCTCTCTGGCCCCACGACCCCAGCTACGTCGTTGTTGTGGAACACGACATCGCTGAGGAAACGGATGTGAAAGAGAGCCTCGATGTCAATAGAGTGTGGAAGAGAACTCTCGATGTCTTTCCTTTCCAAAACCATCGATTCCAAGAGCTCAGCTACCCGAATACGGCGACCGGGACCAGTCTCGTGACGTGGATTCAGGCAGAGTTCAGGACCGACCGTCGGGCAGCGACCGCCATCGGTCAACGATTGATCGATGCGGGTCTTCTGGAGACGGTCGGTCAGCCGAGCGTCACTCAATTCGTCGATGCGACCATACTCTATCGACCTGTCGGCTTGAGCGCCGGTCCAACGACTGAGAAAGAAGGCGACAACGCAGACCCGCTATGGGTGTCTGAAATCGCGCAGGACTCCCGGAGCTCGTCCGAGGAACAACTGTCCAAGGATTGGATCGATGCGTCTCGCCCCGACAGGATCGCTCCAAAAGTTTCCACCAACCACGTGGAACTGGACGTGCAGCGTAATTCCGCGGCCGTTTCGCGCGCCCAATTGCAAGGAGAAGTTGAGCAAGTTAACAGCTACGGTGCGTGGGACCTTGCCGATGGAGAGAGAGTGGTCGGCGTCGACGGTGCGGTCGATGAAGTGTTCTTAGCCTCAACAGAGCAGAACAGCCAGCCGGACGAAAAGAGAATTCCCGAAGCAGAGCTCAACGAGATCAGAATGTGCTTGGATTCCCAGTACGGCCACATGGAGAAAGAGATGCTCAACCAGCAGCTCGCCTCGAACGGTCTGAACTCGAGTTGGGCCGAGGTCATCATCCCGATAGTCAACCGTGTGGCGTCCACCGTTGTGCCCCCGCCGAACAACAACGACATCCGAAGCTTCGTTCACGTGAAGAAAGTCCCCGGAGGGACCAAGAAAGACACCTCTATCGTCTGGGGTACGACCTTCAGCAAGAACCTCGTTCACAAGGACATGCGGAGCTCGATCGAAAATCCAAAAGTGCTCATCCTGCAGGGCGCGATTACCTATCAGAGGAACGAATCGAAAATCGACACCCTCGAACCGATTGTGATGCAGGAACAGGACTATGTGAAGTACGCAATCGCGAAAGTCAAAGCCTATCAGCCGGATGTTCTCGTCGTAGAGAAGAGCGTGTCTTGGCTGGTCCGAGAACGAATCCGGGACTTCAACGTGTCACTCATCACCAACTCGAAAAAGTCCGTCATGGAACGGATAGCGCACTTGACGGGTTCCTCTCTGGTCCCTGGACTCGACGCTCTCGGATCTCCCACTCTCGGAACCTGCGAGCGCTTCTCGGTGGAAATGTTCGATATCAGCTCTACGCAAACGAAATCGATCGCGACCTTCTCGGGCTGTCCTGTGAGCCTCGGTTGTTCGGTTCTGCTGAGGGGCGGCAACCTTTCCGAGCTATCGAAACTGAAAAAAGTTCTAAAATTCATGATTTTCATGAGCTATAATTGGAAACTCGAGAGAGCCTTCCTCCTGAATGAGGTCGCCGTCCCTCCCATCAGTGGCAACATGGTTGACGAAGACGACGTCTCCCAACAGGATGATTACGTCGAAAGTCAATCCAACACGCCCCCGGCACCGATGTCGCAGAGCTCGGTCGTGGAAACCAGAGAGCTCGAGCCCGAAGCGGTCGAGGACAACTCCGACCCGTTGAGAAGCACCGACCCGGAGACGTTCCCGATCATAAGCTCCCCGGTCGTCGTTGAGGAGCCTCAGAATGGAGAACGTTATTATACGCACGCACAATTTAGGAATATTTTAAAAAACACGCTTCTGTCCGTGTCGCCGTTCGTCAAAGTCAACCCCCCGTACATGGAGACTCCTGCCGGGGCGGCGTGCGAACTGCGACAGTACCTCCCGGAAGAGTTGTACACTTCGGAGAAATTACGCGTTCCCATGACGACACATGTTCCACTCACGAAACTAGAACCCACACCGCCGAATATTCACGATATCGAAGCATGGAGCAAACGATCCGATATCGAAATACTCGAACCGCACCCGTTTCTGTCGCTGCCGGCGACTCCGCTTGGCAAAGGCCGACTCCGAGACAACAAGCGATTCCGCGCGCTCCTGGCCGATTATCGAGCGAGAGGCGGTCGGATCAAGAAGAGCTGCGCAAAATGCATTGGCGATGATGAGGATCATAAAAATCTCAAGAACCAAGAAACCAAGCAAATTGGCACGACCGTCTCTAAGCAGCAGGTTCCCGTGGAGCAGGATTGCTTCTCGCCGTACAATCACCAACAGATGGTTGTTTTGTTTTTCATCTATTCGAGTCTATCGAAAAACGCGCCGGGATTCTGCATGGACCCCGGCTTCATCAAGATGGATTTCTACGCAAATTACGATATCACTCTCGGACGCTACCTCGAACGATACTGTTTACAGCCGGGCTACAGCTGTCAATGCGGTCTGGAAATGCTCCAACACGACCGCAAGTTTGTCCACGACGAGGGCAGCATCGTTCTGAACACGTGCAAGATGGATAAGATATTTCTACCTCAAAACGACATATTCATGTGGACCTTCTGCCGGAAATGCCGCTACATGTCGAAAGTGGAGTCCATGTCGAAGGAGGCCTACAACATGTCTTTCGCCAAGTACCTGGAATTACGATTCCACGGCGCCGCGTACACATGTCGCGGGTCTCAAGCGACGCCGTGCGGCCATTCGATCCACCACAACCACGTTCAATACTTCTCGACAGGGCACCTAGTGGCTTGTTTCAAGTACGTCCCGATTTCCATCCGGGAGATAGTGCTCCCTCCGACAATGATCCGTATAAAAAAACAGGAGCTGAGCATATCGAAGGTCAGCGACGAGATCCGAGGCCTGTCGGAGAAATCTAGCGAGTTCTATCAGACCGTACTCCAGGTGCTCATGGGCATCAAGGATCAGGTGATCGCTACGAAACACGAAGTCTGGCTCACGCAAATGCTCGAAATCCACAAGGAACAGAGGGCCAAGAGCAAGGAGTACATTGAAAAGCTCAACGTACAACTCACAATGCCTGTCAGCGAAGACAGCGCGGAGGAGAATTGCTGGCCGATCTACAATAGTCTCGTAAGGCTCAAAAACCACATCGCAGATGGGGTTTTGACCTGGAACAACTTGTTGACGAACTTCGAAAACGCGCGCAAGAAAGAAGAGAAGATCACCAGGAGCGAGAGCGTCTCCAAAGCCCCTGTGGAAACGGGGGTCGCGGGTCCGCTGGACAACGATAACGTCGATCAGAACGAGGTCATATGCGATCCGATGAAGCTTCTCGAAAACCAAGAGCTGCGCAGTAAGAGTGCCAGCGCGGCGTCAAGTCTGACGAAAGACTCGATCTCGACCGATGATTCGCGGTCACAATCGACCGCCGAAGAAAAACTCGCGCCCATGATCAGCGAAGAGCTCACCGTCAGCGTCGACGCCAAGCAGGAGAAGCGAGGGACCGTGAAAACAATTTTCCAGCAATTCCTCAACACCAGCGCCACCGCATTGATCTCTAGTCCGTTCCCGGCCACGGAACATTACAATTTGAATTTGGGCATGGAGCCGCCCATAGCGGTTTACGACACCGAGCCCTCGTCGATCATTGCGGCATCGTTGGCCTCGAGCGAGTACCAGAGCGGCTCACTCAGGGTTCGAGCCCAGCTGAGCAGCATCATGGCCCATCTGCAAGAGAGCTCCCCGAACAAAACGATCGACGTCCTCGAGCTGAACAACTTCACGTTGCCGTACAGCACTTCGAAACCCGAACAAGCTCAGCTGCACATCGACATCCAGTTCCAAGACGCTTCTTCGAGGTATTTCTGTCGAATCTACTACGCTGAACAATTCCGTAAAGTTCGGAGTCTGCTGTTTCCGGCGGGTGAAGAAAGATTTCTCTACTCGCTGGCCAGATGTATCCCGTGGGAGGCTCAGGGGGGTAAGAGTGGGTCGATTTTCTGCAAGACGCTCGACGATCGTTTCATCCTCAAGGAGATGAGTCGTTCCGAAATGGAGTGTTTCCGTCAGGATTTCGGCATCAAGTACTTCGAGTACATTTCTCGCGCATCCAAGAGGAAACATCCAACGGTCCTCGGCAAAATCGTCGGAGTCTATCGAATCGGCTATACGAACTCCGTGACCAACAACCAGTGCAAAATGGACCTGCTCGTGATGGAGAACCTGTTCTACGAGCGGAACATCAACCTCAAGTTCGACCTGAAGGGCTCGGAGCAGAATCGTCTAGTTGACGACATAGAGAGGGACGACGTCGTCCTCCTGGACGAGAATTTCATGAAACAAATGTGCGAGAACCCCATGTACATCAGGCAGCATTCGAAGAAAGTACTCCTGAACGCCATCAACAACGACTCAAGTTTTCTGGCAGAGTGCAAAGTGATGGATTACTCGCTGCTGGTAGGAATCGACACCGAAAAGAACGAGTTTGTCGTGGGCATCATAGATTACGTCCGCCAGTTCACGTGGGACAAGAAAGCTGAGATGGTTTTCAAATCCGCTCTCTCCGGCAAGAGTCCCACGGTCATTTGGCCTTCAATGTACAAAACGCGTTTCCAATCAGCCATGTCGAAATATTTTCTAGCTGTACCAGATCGGTGGACTCCTTTGGGCAAGGACTCTATGTTGGAGATTGGTTTCTTCTGTGAAGGGAGCCATTCCCATTCTTGTAACTGTCCTAAAAGTTTTTTCTGAAGTCTCTGCTTTATAATGGTTACATTGACTGAGTACAGCTCCGATCGATTGTCACGGAAAAATACACCTCATTCCACTGTACGGGCCTATGGGGGCCGGACTGTATATCGGCCGCATTGGGATAAAGAAGAGGCTCAGATTCTTCTGTCAGACTCTGGGCAGTGGACTCCACCGACAGACTATCTTCTCAGTGAGCCAACGCCCAGGATACTCGCGAATTCCTTACACTCTACCTACCACTGAAGCACTGAAAGCCGACGAACAACGGCCTCATGATTTGCAATACCAACGGCGAGCTATGTAGATATAAATTTGTACGTACAATATCGCAAACTGGATTGTTCGGAACGTCGGGACAATAAATTTGTTAAGTTTTCCAAGCTGCTTGGGATCCTTCTTCGGACCGGGCTCGGGAGGAGCTAGCGAGGAGCTTCGCCGATCGCATTGAAGAGCGTCCAGGAACAATTTACACTCCATTTTATTGGTCGAAGCCTCTCTCTCGCACTATAACATATTCCCTATCTAAGCGGCCACGCCGGCCGCCGCTGCCGCCCTGGCGGCGTCCCGTTCTTGCAGTCTGATCTCTCGTTCTACTTCCTTCAGTCTGATTATGTAGCTGGAATGGAGAACTTCGTTAGGCCGTTGAGGCTGCGAGAATTGTTGGCTTCGGCACAAAACAACTTGATATCGACAACACCGTTCTCCACCGGCCAAGCTCGTTCAGGGGTGAAACTCACTCATCATAGACACACTGCTCCCACTCGTGCTTTTCGGGGGCACATAACGCAACGAAGGGATATTTAGTATATCTGCAAGTCTTGAAATCGATCAACTTGTGAGCGCAGTAGTCACGTCTCCTCGGTTCGATTTTGGCGCTGATCATTTCCTCTTCGGTGGCGACTGCAACTACAAATCGAAGACGAGACTCTCAGAATTCTGTCATCAACGCTTTTGCGAGAAGACGGTTCGCCACGAAGCAAACGATAAATGTTGATGTAGGATATGCGGGAACGAATGTGCTCGATATCATATGTATGAATGCGATAAGTCAAAAGGAATTGACTCCGATGTACGTGGCGCGACCATCATAACTCCGAAAACGCCAAGATGTGGCTAACAACCGCTTCCAAATGAATTCTGTCACAGACAGCTGAATCTGATATATCCAACAATCCTGTCCGATCGATCTCTCACCTCTCGGTTTCCGTCCTCTCGGAAAGCCTTCCATTGGATCGCGGGTTATCTTCATCGGTCTCGGGTACGTTTTCGCATCCGGATCGTACGGAACATCTTGAAGACCCCAGTAACCGTCCACTGTTTTGAGATTCCCCATAAGGTTACCCATGACGGTGCAGAAGAAGAAGAAGGGGAAAACGAGAAACCCTCAGTGCTAGAGTCAACTTCGGATACGACGACCTTCTTCGTTTATCTGCGGTCCCCTCTTGATGACGTTCGATGGACCTCGATGGAAACCAGATGATGTTTAGATGATGCGTCGACGAGACCGTCATGCGACTTCCTACGGGACGAGGAGTAAGCGGAGGAGGAGCGTCCATGGGCTCTCTACCGAAAGGAAGAGAGTTTTCGATCAGCATCGACGGAGAACGGATTCGCCGGCGAGTTGCGATTCGTCCGAGCTCTATCGCAGGAGGGACATTGATCTACGGCGCCGACGGTTCATTCATCTCGCGAGCCACTCGCGCCGCGCGACTCATCCCGTTAAGGAAAATGTGGACAGGCCTCCCAGAGAGAGGAGCGTGGACTCGGAGGAATCGTACATGAGTACGTCCAAACTGTCGCCTACAGACGCTGCTGCCTGAGGAGAGGCTGGGAAATACCTTGAACGGGTCTCTAGGCGTAAGTTCCTCCCTCTCTCTTTCGTTGCTCTTATCGTACGCGCAAACTTCCATGTCGAGATCAGCAAGCCTCGGATATAGGATATCGGAAACATTCGATGAAGAACAGTCACGACTAGGTACTTCCAGACGACGACAGTGTCAGGGGGCCTCTTCGCTGAGGGAGCGATGCACTGTACGTGCGTCGGATCCCGCGTATTTTATATTTGATGCGGAATTATCAATTTGTTCTCGCTCCGGGCACGTTATCGCCTCTCGCGTTTTCTTCTCATTTCGCTGAGCATCTGGAAGAGATTCTTTTTCGCCCCTTCCCTAGAGGCACCGGCATGCGATAGCGGATCCTTCCACATTGTCATTCTTTATTACGCGTGTCGGTGAAGCGTTGTCGCAACGGGATTCGCGAACTCAGCAGTTCCTCGTGTTCCAGAACATGCGCTGGTCGATCCTCGCAGCCGTGTGCACGGTGTGTGCCGCAGAGTTCTTCACGGCAACCGTGAACCTGGAAAAGCTTCTCGTCACCGAACGCGAAACAGTCTCGGCCCTCGAGCAGTACATCCAAGCCGAGAATGCGAGACTGGAACGAGTCAAGCATCTGAAGAACGATCTGGAGGGTCTCTGGAAAATGGCCGAGCGAGACTCGGGCTTCGTCATGAACCCGGTCAACGCGTTTCTACTCGTCAAGAAACTATCGGCAGATTTCAACGTCGTCAAATCGATGATTTTCCACCCGAAGTCCTCTGATGTCATTCGGAACCTCACCGATGAGGTACGCTTCCCGGACGACGAGGACCTCGACGGTGCGGCCGTGGCTCTCCTCAGGCTCCAGGACGTCTACGCGCTGGACACGAGTCAAATGGCCAACGGAGTTATTGCACCGGGTGCTAATGAATCACCGCGGCTGCTCGCCGACGACTGCTTCGAGCTCGGCCGTCAATCGTACGTGAAGGAGGACTTCTATCACACCGTGCTCTGGATGCAGGAAGCCCTGGAGAGGCTCAACACCACGCAGTACAATCCTGCCGAGGTAGAGGTTGACATTTTGGAGTATTTGGCGTTCGCGACCTTCAGGCTCGGTAATCTCCGGCACGCTCTCAAACTCACTGATGATCTCCTGTCGAAACGGCCGGATCACCCCAGGGCCAGCGGCAACAAAAGGTTAGAATTTTAAGAGTCGAGCTAGTCGAGATTTCCGTCATCGGAATTCATTATCTGGACCCCGTAAGCTAGTGCCGTTCCTGGCTATGGACGGTGCCGCATCGTCTTCACTAAACTACGTGGCATAGTGAGCGGCGAGATCCATGGACGCGTGAGAAAACAATTGAATAGATACCGAGGGGCGGACCGGTTCCCTCGCCTCAATGAGCTCCCTGGTGAACTCTTCCGCGCGATTGGCCGCTTACCATTCCGTACAGTTTCCTGAGCATATGATGCGGGATTTCGCTGATTTCTTCACGAGGAGCACCTCGAGGCGTCGATGCTCCGCCCCCGGCCGTGGTGCTCGAAAATTCGCTTGGCATCATCTACCCAAATTCCATTCTCATGAATGGAATTGAATTTTTTTCCTATTTTACCATCGTTCGAATTGCATCAATAACTTAAATATTAATTGAACTGTTTACCGATTTTTTAATTTTACCATTGTAGCAATGGTATTAGAGTCTCAATAAGAGAGGTCAAGCGAATCGCTCCGGGCACGTGCTCCTAATCTTTATCGTTTCGAAGCTCGATTAACGATTCGCTGATGTACTGATCGCTTCTCGCCAAGGACTGAGTGAGCGCGCGACGTGTATGACACTTCGTAGGAGGCGTAGGGTTTCTTTTGTGCTGACTCCCCGCATTCTTTCTAGATATTATCTGAGCGAGCTTGGAAAGAACCAATCCGGGGAAGGTCGGGGCGATACGAAGGAGGCACCGGTCGAAACGCATATCAAACGTCAGGACTCGCTCTCTGATGAGCGGATTATGTACGAGCGCCTCTGTCGAGGAGAACCTGTGGAGAAGCCCTTCCTCAGGAAGAATCTTCACTGCACGTACTTCCACAACAATCATCCGTACATGATTCTTCAGCCAAGCAAACTCGAAGTCATCCACGAGAGGCCCTACCTCGCCCTGTTCCACGATATCATGAGCGATGACGAGATCCAGACAGTCATCGAGTTGAGCGCTCCGAGACTGAAGCGAGCCACCGTGCAGAATGCCAAATCCGGTAGGTTGCCTCCGATCTCATAGAATGACAACGTTGCCTCCTTGCTCAATTCATCGAGGGGGGAATCGAGCTCGAACCGTATCTCTTTTCAGGAGAGCTCGAGGTCGCCAATTATCGCATCAGCAAAAGCGCCTGGCTGAAAAACCACGACCATGAAGTTGTCGAGCGGCTCTCGTTCCGCTTCGAGTATCTGACCGGATTGACTCATCTCACTGCCGAAGAGCTGCAAGTGGTCAACTACGGAATCGGAGGACACTACGAAGCTCATTTCGACTTCGCGAGGAGAGACGAGAAAGACGCTTTCAAACAACTCGGGACCGGCAACCGGATCGCCACCTGGATCAATTACATGTCGGACGTGAAAGCTGGGGGAGCCACAGTGTTCCCAAGGCTTGGCTTGACTGTATGGCCGGAGAAAGGAAGCGCCGCCTTCTGGTGGAATCTTCATAGGAGCGGCGAAGGAGATATTCTTACTAGACATGCGGCATGCCCGGTCCTGGCAGGCTCAAAATGGGTTTCCAATAAATGGTTCCACGAAAGAGGACAGGAATTCCGGAGGAAGTGCGGCCTAAAACAAACCGACTGAAGTTCGGAGAGGTACGTGTCTACCACTCAAAACTCGTTTCTCACTCTCAGTGCCAAGTGAACTGGCGCTAATGCAGTCATTAAGACGGATACAATTGTAAATGACATTTGTATATAGGGATCTGACCCAGATTTGTACTATGTCCTGTCAATGAATAAATGCACCAGTTTCGATACACCGAGCCAATCCAGCGCTTCCAATCATGATTCGAAACGGGTCGATGCCGTTGACTCCCGGAAGTCTTTGTGATTCCCTTTTGGTCTCTTGGAGATTCTCTGGCCGTCGGAGTATGAAAGACCCGATGGGGGCCCGCGATGTCTCCGGTCGCGGAGCAAAGGGAGTTGACACCGAGAAGGAGCGATCGGGGTAGGTTGGATTTTCTAAGCAGCAGGTATTTGAGAGAGCTCCCGACCGGCGGGAAAAGAAGTTCCTGATCCTTCGACCGAGTTTATTTTACATCCTACGTCTTTTCCAGAAGAACCGCGCTCATAAATTAAGACTTTACACCCATTCGGCACTTGTAGACTCCAAGCCATACTTGACTGATGATTTATATTAAGTTAAAAACTAATAACATCCGCTGATCAAGAAAGACACTCGTTTCCGGAGACCGGGGCCTCGTCGAAGTGCTCGCATTTGATACTTCCGCCGGATTCATTCATCTATCAAGCAGAGACTTTGCTGCAGATCTCATTTGTGTAGTCCGAGCAGGTGCCCTTCCCTCCCAGATCAGCTGTCAGGTGTCGACCTTCCTTGATTGTGTCAAATGTGGCTCTCTCAATTCGATCGGCGAACTCGTTGAGATTCATGTAGCGCAGCATCATGATGGCGGACAGGAGGAGCGCCGTTGGGTTGGCTTTGTTCTGTCCCGCGATATCCGGTGCGGTTCCGTGGACAGACTCGAAAATAGCGCCGTCGGTTCCGATGTTCCCCGATGGAGTGACTCCGAGACCTCCGATCAGACCGGCGCACAGATCCGAGAGGATGTCACCGTAAAGGTTCGGCATGACGAGTACGTCGAACTTCGCCGGGTCCTGCACCATGTTGAGGCAGAGCGTGTCGAGGTACATTTCATTGTACTTGATATCGGGGTTGGCTTCGGCAGCGTCTCGGCAGCACTGAAGGAAGAGACCGTCCGACATCCGCATGATGTTGGCTTTGTGCACGGCCGTTACTTGTGAGCGACCGTTTGCTTTGGCGTACTCGAAAGCGTAACGAGCGATTTTGTTTGACGCCGGTTCCGTGATCAACTTGATCGACTGGACAACTCCGGGAACGATTTCGTGTTCGATTCCGGAATATTCACCTTCTGTGTTTTCTCGAATGGTAACCACATCGACGTCTTTATAGGGTGTTTCGTATCCTTCGATCGAGCGGCAGGGTCTCACGTTAGCGTACAGATTGAATTCCTGTCGGAGCGCCAGATTCAGTGAACGATGTCCTTTTCCGATCGGGGTGGCCAAGGGACCCTTGAGACCAATTTTGTTTTTGTTCACAGAATCGATCGCGCGCTGAGGTATACCGAAACGACCGTTGGGTCCGCGAACCTGCGAAATGGATAAAATCGTCAAGCATCGTAGTGCGAGGGGACTTCTACGTCTCGTCGCCTCCGATCCTCCGACTGAAGATCGTTGAAGGAGATGAATTTTCCCTTGCCGGAAAATCGCGACGAATCCCTTTCCACCAAGCACGCGTTCCATGGAAAGAACGACAGGACATCTCGTCGACGCGGGACCCACCGGAGCTTCGACGCTGTATCGCAGGCAACGAGACAGTCAGAACTTACCGGGGTGACATCCTCGACCTCCCACTGAATTGGAACTCCAGCCGTCTCGAAGATTTTCTGGACTGATGCCGAAATCTCGGGACCGATGCCGTCGCCGGGAATGAGGGTCACAGTCCGCATTTGGGACATGTGCCGACTCAGAGCCCTGGAAATGGGCGCCGAGATTCTTTGGAACTTGTTCATTCTTCTGGAATTCGAGACTAGGCTAGAGGATTCAAACGAGAGACTCCGAGAAGTTCCTCTGGGTGAACTGATCGACCTTCACACTCTGCGCTAAGAGTAGCCGACAAAAGCAGTGCTGAGCTCCGACACGAAACGGACTCGGATATCCGATGGAAATCTCTCAGAGTCCTCCCGTCTCTCGTATGCGACGGGGCTCGGAAGCGAATGGTAAAGTTCCATCACGGAAATATGACGAGAAACATTCACGGCATCCTAGTCGAGACGAGTTCCCGAGAGCCGGCCTCTGAATGCGGCTGCGAGCTGTGAGAGCTCAAAGGCGCGAACCTGGCCCAATGTTTTCATTGTGGAGAGGTTTGGTGCCTCTGATGAATCGTCGTGTCGCGAGACCGAGTCCACTGCTCCTTCGACGATTCTCTCCATGGCTTCGTGATTCAAGCTCCTCGGCACTCCATCCGCAGCCTCGAGAGGAAACGGTGCCTGAACATCCCTCTGGGAAAATCGACTCGTGTCCGAGTGCCGAGGCGTTTTTTTTTCACTTTCGTCCAACTTCCGGCTTTGTGGTACAGGAGCAGAGGACCGTATGTCGAACATATGTCGGAAGTTGGAGAAAACTTGTCAGAATGCGAGACAGCGGGGAAACCAGCGGGAGTTGGCCCTGGCTCTCGAGGAACTCGCTTGCTACCTTGCCGATCAGAGATCTTGGGACCGTCTCGTCGAAGTTCGGACCGAACTACTTGAGGTTTTGGAGAAACTCCATGATACGCTGGAACTGGCTCGATGTCATCGGTGAGCGACACGGATTTTCGTTTTTTTCTCTGAAATTATACTCCATCGTTGAAGGCGTCGTTTCGTGACTCCCGTGGAGCTGTGTCGTCTTCGGCCACTCGAGTCGCGTGTCGGAAGAGTGAGTCCCTATTCCCTATCCGACTCCGTGTACCTAATTTGGTATCTCTGTCTCAGATTCATCGGTGAGGCTTATTTGGAATTACGAGACCCTGACTTGGCTTTACGTCATGTGAAAATGTATCTGAAGCTGTGCCAGAACGAGTGCGAACTCGAGAAGCAGCGAGCTTTCACCACACTCGGAAGGGTTTATGTCGCCAAGTTCGACATCGATGGAACAAAAGGTGGCTGCCGACGAAATCCCTTCCTGTTTAATTTCATTCGATCGAACTCGATCTCTCGATCGTAAGTTCCATGCACTGGAAGAACTCTAATCAGCTGTTCGGCATTCGACCCAGGTGCATTGGACAAGGCCACGCAGTTCTATAATTCAGCACTATACTTGGCGATGAAGTTCGAAAAAGATGAACAGCTCGGATTAGAAGAAGCTCGGCTAATGCGCGGCCGTTTGTTGTACAACCTGGCCCTGGCGGCCCAAAGGAAAGTGAACGGTGGGAAGAGTGAAGTTCTCAAACATCTCGAGCGTGCCGTTTACACTCTGAAACAGGTAATTCCCACGCGAGCCCGAAACATCAAATAATACCAAGATCACAATCATGTAGTTATCGAGTTGGAGTTTTTTTGTTTTTTCTCCGCAGCTTTCCGGAACGAAACTCGAGAAAGATTCCCTGGGCGATCTCTACAACACTTACTGCGAATTATCGGAGCTCAATTCGAAGATGGAGCGATCCACTGAAGCTATCGATGCAGCGCAGAAAGCTCTGAGCATAGCTCGGCAGACGAAGAGCTCTTCGCGAAGAGCGGAATCGTACATGCTCCTTGGACTCGGGAATCTATCGGGTGGTCGATGGAGAGAAGGCCGAAGAGCGCTCAATCACGCGCGGGTTTACGCTAAGTCACTTGACGAACTGAAAAAAATTGGTGGGTGCTGGTTCTTACCTTCACGTTCTTCCCGAATTATCCGAATGAATATCTTCAAGGCGTTCGGAGCAGGCATGACCTACGCGCCCTTCGGGCTTTTTTTCGACACCCCGATTCTACTTCAGTTTGGTAAGCAATTTGAAGGACGCTGTTCGCCTCGAAAGATGGGATCGCAAGCTCCAGGACGGAGACGGTGACGTCAACGAGCTCCACGAGAAAGTGGGAGACACCTTAGTGAGGTTCGGATTCCTCGGAGCAGCTATACGGTCTTACAGAAAGATCGAAGCCCCCTTCGCCGCTAAGTGTAAACGGTATGTGAAGGTCGACGGTGCTCGGTGATGTAGATCGGAGTATTTATGAAATTTGACGGCGAATCAATCGCCTCTCCCGAGCTCGTTCCATTGGAACAGTATTCCGATATCGTCCGTGTCGATCTCACATTCATTTTCTTCGCTTCGTCCCTACGCAGATACGCTGCTATCTGTGGATCGATTGCTGAAACTTACAGCGACCTCTCAGACTTCGTCAAAGCAGAGGAATGGTACCTCAGGGAGCTCCAATACCGACACGAGGACGAATTCGAGGAATTGAGCAATCTGTATCTATCATTGATCAACTGCATACGGGAACCTCCGCAGCTCGAGAGGATCATCGACTTCTCGAGGAAAGCATCGGAATGCGCGGAACGGTGCACGAAGCGATTCGTCAAGAAAAACGTCCTCGAGAGATTGAAGGAGCTAAGGGCGGAAATAGGTTCGGATCAGCTCGTCTTGAGCTCGTTGTGACGCCTGACAAGCTCCGGAGCACTCGCTGATTCTCCCGGTGGATGTTTGCTCATGCTTCTGTCGATTCCTGTCTCAAGGAGAGCGTGGTTTTCAGAGAATCTCGAGATTCCGAACTTCGAGTCACTTGAAAAGCAATTGGATGGAGGACAATCGACCGACTCCGAAACATCGATGACAGAAGAATCGAATCGTGATACTTCGGTCGATTTGTCGGATTTATCTGTCGAGGTGACTTCCGACACGGAGGAGCGAGCCACGAAGGCTCGGACCGGATCAAGGCGGATCACCGAAAAGAAGAACGAACGAGGCGAAACTTTGCTGCAGCAGGAGTGCATCAAAGGCAATCTAGCCGCGGTTCAGAAACTCATCGGCCAAGGTTGGCATCCGAGCTACGATTCTCAGCGGCAGAATACGAGATCCCCTTTGCCCCGTACCTACATCGAGCGAGCTCCTCTCTGAAGATTCCGCCACCTCCTCTGTGGTAGACTTATCCGACATGTTCCAGGCTTCGATGTGAATTCCGTTGACAACGGCGGTTTCTCTTGTCTTCACGACGCGGCAAACCATGGATTCTTTGAAATAGTGAAGCTTCTGGTGGAAGCTGGAGCCGTCGTGAACAAAGAGAGCAAGGACTTCTCTCACAGGTGGGTGTAGCTCTTTTCCCTCGGTAGACTATCGATCCACCCTTGGAGGTAATCCGTTCACTCCGAGCTCAATCCGAAGAGTGCGACTCCTGCGCGCTTCATGAAACCAACTGCTTCCAGGATCACCCCGCTTCATTCTGCGGCAGCCGATGGCCACTATCTGATCGTATCTTATCTTCTGGATCATCGAGCTAATGCGAAGGCCCTGACCATACGGGGACAGACAGCTTTCGATCTTTTGGAGGTGTCAGAAACCCAGGACGAAGTGTACATATGTAAGTGTTTCATTGGGATTATCCTATGCGGCCCGAGTCCCTCTGAGGGTTCTCTGGAGTTTTCAGATCTTTCGGTCCTAAGAATTTTTCTCCTCGACGTAGCTATTCGGGAGAGACTTCAAGCCGCCGATGCCGAAGTACGCCATCTCAAGAACATGGTCAAACGGCGTTTCCAACACATTACGACGCCGTCGCCTTTTCTGACCGTGAACAACGACGACAAATCCGCCGGACCGGCCGACGCTATCATGATCGAAGAGGATGTCGTCTCGACGAAGGGTCGAAAGAGAAAGAAACAGAGGAATTTGGATTCCATCGTAGTGAGAAGTAAACGTGTCCGAGAGCCGAGTTCCGAACGCGACGGAGAGCCGTCCGCATCAAATTATCGCTGTCGAACTCCTTCACCGAAACGCAAGCGGCAACCCACGATCCTGTCAGCCATCCAGAACATGAGCGACGATTCAAACGGAGCGAACGACACAATCAAAGACGCCTTCGAAAGGACATTGATGTGCAGCACCCCAACGAAAAACCGGGGCCGTGACGACACTGTAATTGATGTTGACGTTTCAGACACAACACTGAAGGACAAGGATGCAAACATTGCGGATCGAGACACCGGTAATAGCACGATATCGGAAAAGTCTTCGTCTTCGAGCGTCTCCGGTTTCGGCCTCGCGTCTGTTCACCTAGTCAGGGTCAGAGTGGAGGAGAGATTGCTCTCGATTCCGCTGCCGAGGGATTTTTCCGAACTCACCATCGGTTACCTCGAGCAGCAAGCCGCGGAGCGGTACCAGGCGATCGAGGGAACCCGGCCGGTGGTGAACATAGCTCTCGAGGATGGCGCTCTTTTATGTTCGTCTGACCCAATCGTCTGTGTTCAGGGTATTCCTGTGCTGAAAGGAATAGTCGCTGCTTGGAACGTCCCGGCCCTCGAAGAGAGAATCAAAATCAAGCTCACAGGCAAGGCGTTGTCGAAAAAACTTCTACAAAGATGTCAGATCGCCACCACGTTCGGCAAGTTGGAGCTCGATCACATGAAGGTTCCCCAGGAGCTGTTCATAGTTTTAAAGCACGAAACACATCTGCACACCCTCAAAATGCTCTTCGTACATCTGGATACGAACGCGTGTCAGCAGCTGAGTGAGGCGTTCGCCCGACTGAAAAATTTGAAGTTTCTTTCCCTCGCTGGCTCTGGTCTCAGCGGAAAACAGTTCCTGGATGTTTTCGCGAAATTTGCCAGCATGGAACTCGAGGAGTTGGATCTGAGTTTCAATTCCGCTGATAATTTCTTCGTTAACCTCCTCCGGAGCCTCGTTCCTCGACTGAGATCCTTGAAATCTTTGATAGTTTCTTCGTGCAACATCACTGACACCTCTTGTATAAACGACATCCTAGATCAAGGCACGGTTTCGAAGGTAGACCTGTCCTGCAATCCTCTCGGAGAGAACGGACTCCGGACGTTAGAGGGAGTGCTTCGTCAAACTAGTCTGAAAGAACTCGATCTAAGCAATTGCGTGAAGCAGAAGGTGACGATAGAATTTCTAATAGAATTCCTGGAAAAATGTAAAAATCTAAAGACTGTGAAACTCAACGGCTTGCTCATCGAAGAATACCATCCGAGGGATAGCTTAGCGACATCGACGAGTTTCGACACAGCATTGCAGCTCCACATGGAGAAGACTCCGCCAATATCTTGGAATTTACGCGAAAGTCTCGAATCGTATTTAGGGAAATTAGTCATGGACGATGTATGAAATCGGTGAAAAACAAGGGCATCGTGCTTGTTCTCATCGTTCTTCTACGAACCAACCTAATACAACCCACTAACGGTGAAGCTCAAATGACTCTCAGAGTATCCGCTAGACAAAGGACACTTTCCATGAAGTATTTTCGTTTCTTTCTCCGAAATTCCATGAAACATGTGGAGTAATGGGATGTTGAATGGTTTTCACATAATCTTAATTATATATTAAAACTGCACAGACGAGTCTAGGAAAACTCTGGAAAAATTAATCAGCTTTCTTCTGCTCCCCGTTCGCTTCGACCTCGTCCTCAGGCGCAGCTTTTATGCTAAGTTTCGCCATGAGATCCTCAACGGCCACATCCTTGCCTTCGAGGGCACCGATTTCTTTCTGAAAAGCGCAATCTGATTTTGAGAGTCTTGATAAATTGTGTAGTGCGTCGCCCGGATCGGCTGTCGCTTCGCGGAGGAATCGTCTCGGATGACTTCCTTTCGGACCTGCCCGCTATCCGTGTCCGATACACATGGCGCAGCTACTCACCTGGTACAGAGTTTTAATTTGATCAATGGCCCACGTCAGGTATTTCTGATTATCTTTCTTCTTCTGCGATGCTAATTTGGTCGATGAGGCGAGCCACTGCGCCGCGCTACAGAAACCGAATAACGCTTCCTTGTTTTGAGGATTGAATTTCAAAGCTTGTGCGAAATAGGCACGCGCCAGTTCAACGCTGTCCACGGTCCCGATCAGATACTGAAGTTCCGCATATCGCTGATGATACAGATGGTTATGAGGGGACGTCAACAAAAGTTCTTCCATGCAGAACGCTGCTTTGGGGAAGTCGTTTTCTTCAATGTAGAGATTGCTCAACTCCAACCAAGCTTCTTGGTCACTCTGGAATCTTCAGAGAGATGACTGATTATTGAGTGATCTCGAGCTGTCGATAAATACGTGGAATCGACCATTCTGTCCGTCTGGTTCTCAGCTGCGGATGCGGGCCGGGGGCTCGGCCAAGGGAATCGAAACACCTACTTTTTCAAGTATTCACACAGTTTTTCGATTGCTTCTGGGATAAGCTCTTGGGCCTTCAGTATGGCTATCTTTCGTTTGTGAACCGAAGAGTTGGCCTCATCTTCAGCCAGTAAGGCATCGTAGATTTTCTCCGCGTCCGTGTACGCGCCCAACGCTTCTAATTGCATCGCTTTCAATTTCCTGATCCGATGACTGCCCGGATACTGATGACTGAGTTGCTGGAGGCATTGCTGCAAGGGATTTCTCGGTGAGACTCTCCAGCGGGAACCCCCGGGAGCGCAACTCCCCACGAGCTCAATGATTTCGGAGCTCAGATCGAGTGAGTTCTGGGTTGAGCTCTTCCGAATGAAACTTACTTTCGATACTTCCCAGTCTCGAGTGTCAAACGATGCGAGTGCGACTTGCTCATAGACGACCCATCCTGAAATATTTAGGGCATCATGAGGAAGAGGTCCATCCAATCTCTCGAACAGACGATACCCGCGATTCGCCCGGAAATCCACTCACGTTCGTCACCGAGGGACTTCATGGAATCGCTCAGGACATCTCTGTAAACATCAACAATTTTCGAAGACTGCCGATCGTTCTCGTCACGACATTTCTTCAGGAATGCCCTCGCCTCTGAAATAAAGTTCATTCCTGCTTAGAGATCCCGTTGGCTCTCCCTCCAGAAGTCTCGCAGAACGGTAAGCTCGGACATGCTCTCGGATTCGAAAACCGTGTCCTGGATTCCGCTAGCGAGCTCGTGAGTCGTCGTAGCCGTCAAAATCCTAGACGGCTTCCTTCAATGCCTCTAGGGAACGCGGACTATACGATTTATCTTTGCTCCTCCGACCTGATTAGGTGGGTCCATCTCGGATAGGAGACGAGCACAGTATCCTCCCAGCGATCCGCGCACGGTACCCTCACGTGTGCACCGATCGCGAAACTGCATAGAACACAGGTGTTCCTGCACAAGTCCCCTGACTCGCAGGTTTCGCTTTCTATCAGAGAGAACATGGAACGATTCCGTGATGAAGAAAAACTCCAAGTTCGCTCGCGAGAGGCGACTCCCTGAGCTATCATCCGACTTTCCTGACCTACTCAGGCAGGAGCAATCCAATCCGCTGAGTTACAGGAATCAAGAGCAGTCATTGATGATATAATTAAGAGCATCGTCGACCGTCTGCGTTTTCATTCGCACAGGCCGCTTTCGGGATCCCGCGTTTCGCGACTTCCCCTCTTGATTGAAGATCCCTAGAGGCTAGTTCTTGCGCTATGGATTCACATTCTCTCTCTGCCGAGTCCAGTGCTTGACTCCCCCCCGAGTGCACGATTGACAGATGATCCCAGGCCCCGGCCGGGAAACGACCCACAGTGAGCTTTCAAGCCGTTGTTCGTCAGAATGAGAGAGAACTCTCTCAGGAATGCGTCTCCTTTTGCAAACGTACCGGTCACATCCATCGCGAGGGACTACCAGGTCTTCAGAATACTGAATTTCGGGTTCACTTCCGCCTCCGAACAGCGATCGAACACACAGAAGGAACGAGTGAGCGAAAAGCAGTCGTCGTCGTCTCCTGTCGTCAGCAGCAGCGGCAGCAGCGGTGAGAGAGAGAGCCTACTACTCATCATCACAACAGAGAATGACTGAAAGCGCGACACAGAAGATCGACTACCGGGGTGTGTAGCTTCCCGGGGTAGATATCGCTGACTGAGGACTGACCGCCGAGCGGTCCTACGGTACGCTCATTCTCAAGCGTAGGAGCTAGTCGACTCTCTGGAAATCCGCGTCTCCGGTCGGGACACCGGAGTAATTACAACTTCTTCTCCTTTGATTTTGCGGGCGACCCGCAGACGGGTGTTCTCTTGATGGAGGCCATCGAATTCCCTCCATCGAGTGCTCATGGTCGAGCTTTCTCCACACCGAGAGAGGATTGATGTGGAACGCGCAGCATAGAAAAAAACCAAAGCGATATTCTAATCGGTTCTGCAGCGACGCGATTCGCCGAGCTTCTTCCGTCATGATGCGGCGTGCTGTCCGAACTCTGATGAACAGCCCGCAGAAGAGAAACTACGCCCGAGACCTGAAAACAGTTGATCCAGACTATCTGAAATTACTGAAACCACCCGTACCGGTTCACGAGGGCCTGATCAACGTTCAATTGAAAGGCTACGACTTCCCCGTCTTGGAACGACAGGCACGTCGAGTGCTCAAATTGGTCTCAAAACTCAATTTGACTCTCAGTGAGGCTTGGCCGACACCTCTACGAAGCTTCAGGGTGCAAACCTTCAAACCGCAGTCGACAACCGTCGACAAAAGCTATGATTTGCCGATCTACGAACGCAACGTCCAAATCGCAATGGTGCCGGGATTCCTTCTGGGTACTTTCATCGATCTAGTGCAGAAGAACTTGGCGGTAGGAGTCACGGTGAATATCCATCTGCACGGACCGGAGCATCTAGAAATTCGGCAGATCCCCGATCTCGAGTTGGAGGCGTTGGAGAGACAGCTGGAAGAGTTGACGGGTACGCCGATTAATCCCCACCAGAAGAAGCTCTAGATAGGCATGAGGGAGTCTGTGGGAGTTTTAGAAGAATAAAATATCTGAGAGTTTTTCTCGTACGTTATGAAGTTCGATGGCTCCTCATTCGACTGCGATGGATATCATGTATGCCCTCATGAACACGATTTCATGTCAAGGAAAACATTTATTCACATGTGAACAGCGTGGAAACATCGAAATGTACATCGTTTTGGTAAATCGTCATCGTCTAGAAGCTTTGAATCGCGATTGTTTTCTCGGCTCTCCGCCCACAGTTTGCACGACTTTCCCCGTCACATCTCTCTCGATGATGAGTCCGGTGAAAGCGTCGGGCTCGGCCTCATCCGACTCCGGATCCGGCTCGTCATTATCGTCACTGTCAATGGGTTTCTCTTCATCCTCATGATGATCGAAGCGAACAGATTTGAGGCTGCCGCTCGATGTGGTTCTTTTCAAAATGCTCCTCGGTCCGCCCGACGTGCTTGGCTCGTCCTCGTCCCCAGGGGGTGAGCTGCCTTTGTCTTCACTGAGGATAGGGGGAAAATACTGTCTGGTTTCGGAGTCGAATTCAGCAAATTCACTCCTTCCGAGGAAATGACATCCTCCATCGTGGACGCCTACCGGGGAATCGGTCATCTATCCACGAGCTATTCACAAACCTTTCCCAGATGGGGAGCGCATCTCGATGATCCGATGTTGGCGGAGGGTTCTCGACTTTCCGACCATACTTTTCGAGCTCCTCTTGAATCTCCAGTTCCTCGAGCCGCTGCAGCAAGGAGGCATCGTCCACCGCATGTCGCATGGCCTTGCGCTCCCGAGTACGCTCCTCTCGAACTCTGGAAGCGGATTGAATGTCGGCGACCGGTGGGTGAGTGGCGTCGATTGTGACGGGAGCGGGGGGGCTCCGGTCGAATGGAAATAAATCGTGACGAGAAGTACTACCTCTTGGCATGCTCCTCGCGCCACTCCGCTTCCCTGACTTCGTCGAAGTCCTCTTTGATGTCAACGGCGGTTGTCTTCTCTTCTATATCGCGCTGCGTGAAGTTTTTCCACTCCTCGAAGTGTTTGATTTCCTCCCGAGCTTTTGCCTGGCGTTGTCGACATTCATCGATTCTCCTGGACGCGATCTCCGCAGCCTTCGTAGCCGAAACCTGCACGAGATACTCGGACGACAAGAGGACCGTGATTTCGTTTGTGTGGACGAGCTCTCCTCGGAAGAATCCCACCGAGTTGAGCGGTACCGTGACATCGTGCCGAATTTTCTTCGGTAAATTTTCGAGCCTGCAAGAAAGGTTTGCGCATCAGACACTCGATGAAAATCCTATTCCCAAGGAGCAGAATGAATGCCCCCACGCAATATGGGTACTTCAGCACTCTAAGCTTCCCGATCGAATTGCGGAGCAGCGTCTTCGAACTCACCTTTCGAGCAGCTGTTTGTAGTTCTCTTCAATAGATTCGAATTCTTGCAGAGATTGCTCAACTGCTGCAATCGCTCGATGCTGTTCGGCCAGCAGGCGTTCCATCTCGTTCCAAGAGAACGGGTCACCAAAGATTATGTTTTCTGGGAATTTCGTCGCTCAATCATATCTCATACCGGAACGATGTCAATTAAATTGTTATGGGAATATCGAATCAATGTTATCCGCCACTCGCTCGCGCGTTGTTGCTCGATGGTGGGAGAGGCAACTCTCCTGGTTCGCAAACATTCTCGTTCACATGGATGGATTGTTCACCTTGCTCGAGAGCGGGCGGTCTGAGATGCGGCTGCGGACACTTATGAAGCCGGTGAGTCTCATGCGAATGAATCGATTACAGCTCCGAATATACGACTCCGAGCTCTTTCAGAGCGTAAGGCGCAACCAATTTGGGAGAAGGATTGGCCGGGGAATCTTCTTCTCTGATCATGTACGGTCGAAAATTTGGACGGTTCGCAGGGATAAGACATCAATCCGACCGAATAAATGGGGGGAAGGGGGGGGGAATTAACGAGCCGTATCCGTCCCGTTATCGAGAGAATTTCGGCATTGTACGGGCGCTTCCGCCACGCAGGGTTCTGCCGATTGCGGTAGAAGAACATTAAGTGTTCCAAATAGCCCCAGCGCCGACAGACTCTTTGACACCAGATTCGGGGTAAAGGCTGGCGCTTCCGCAAGGTTCAAAACTCTAGGTTCCGACAGAAGAGTCCTCCAAGAGGATCACACGACGTCTCCCGAAGTCTTCCTTGATACCGCGTGCGCAACCTCGACCTTCACTCAAATGTCGAGCGAGCTGACATCCGCTCAAGTCCCAAGGATCCCCGTCACACCGGCCGCATTCTTTCGGATTCCTGGAGAGCTTCAGCCTCCCTCATAATTTATCCCACACGCCTCACAAGATTCTTCGATAGTACCTACATATGACGGAGAGGATCAACCCCACTGCAGAATCGGAGTACTCATTCAGCTCTAATAATTTAGGTCCTAAATATGAATTCTCTGATGAGATTAATTGATACCATCTACCCCAGAGTTGTGGTAGTATTTCCTTCCGTCTAGATCTTCGAGCCCGAATGACCTCCCTCTCTCGGCGGCGTGTCGGGGGTCCTTCGAAATATGTGTCGATATCTGACCGAGAAAGGGTTCAGCGAAGTCCTCGAGCGACCCCCAGACTCCAGAGCTATCGTTCAGACCTTCCGGCCCCGAATCTGACGCTTGCTAACGAATCCTCGCCAGATCACCTAAATACCCTAAGTCTCCCAGCGGGCGGCCCTTCCCCCATAGTAGCCCCCCTCCTAGAGGCTTTGAAGCAATCAAGAGGCCCTCTGGAATGCAGGGCCCCGCCTCGATTCGTAGACATCAAATTGGATAGAATGAACATCGTGAAAAATGAGCTGACACATTTTCAATCGAGACTATTGCTCTTGTGGAAAGCCAGTTGCCAAACTCTGCACCGAGTACACGCTCCCCCCCCACATTTCCGTCATCGTTTCCCGAGGCTAAATCCTTTCCGAAATATCTCGAGATCCCCTCCGATAGGAACCCCTCTCGAATAGAAGCTCTCCGCCGAAGAGATTCGGAAATACTTAAGCCCGGGTCTCCATTAAGAGATTCACGGTGGTGGAATTCACTCACGTTTCCATGAATTCGACTTGTGAGGGAAGCGTCTCAAATGAAGTGATAGGGGGACAACATGCCCCGAGGGTTCACATGAAATCCTAGTTCATTCAGTTTTCACCCCATGTACCCAGCGCCTAACCGCATTGGGACGGGTCGTTCGCTTTTCCACACTGATTCTCGCTTGTTGCCTCCGTGGAGTCCGCTCAGCGACTCCGCTAGGTTTTCGGTCTGACGGAATGCGAAATCGGGGATTGCGCATTCGAAAATCAGCGGATCGAGCCAGCACCGGCGGCGGATCTCCGCCCAAGAGCTTGATAGGGTTTTAGAAGGGCGCGCCGGGACTTTTAGAGGTTTCAGGGAGCCGCGTGGTCTGCAGAAACATTGAATGATCGTGGCGACAAACGCAAATGAAGCGGCGGGTCTGGCGCGAAGATGAGATCATCATGAACCTAAGACGATTATAGCTCGCGGGTGGGCTCTGGGCCGGAGAGCGAGCCTTGTGATCGTGAGCTCTCTAACCGTGCCGAGGGAAAGCCTGCTTTTCGTTTCGCACAGCGCGAAATACCCTCTACCAGAGTCGATCCCGAGCAAATCACCCGAGATCTTCGGACGCAGAAATCTCGGAGGCAAGCTACCGGTCAAGGGTACCTTCTGGCAAGACCTGAAAATTTCGCACGATTCCCATGCGGCAGTCCATGGCTTACACGTCGTCCGAACGAGCTTCCCGAAGATGCCGAAGATAAGTTCTTCCCTCGAGGACCGACCAGACGGCGGCAGAGCTGGACAGAGTTCTCTCATTACAAAAAGTAGGGTCCATACCTAACGAAGGAGGGCGGCCGGCGGCTTCGTCGATCAAGATTAAATGCCGCATTTACGAGTCCCATGAGCCGTGAGCCAAAACACACAGCTCACGCCCAGGAGCTCATCGAAGCGAACAGTTGTGTCCGTCCATATCCCCCGAGGGAACAACTCGCCCCGGTCCACGATGATACCGGGAGAGTTTTGCCCGAGTGAATCTCCCGCGCTCTCCTCCTCGCCACGAAGACATCGAATGTCTTCGTGGCAAATCAGGACTCCCATTCAAGGGATCATCGCGGATGGAATCCCGTGAGCGAGTTTCGCGCTCCCCCACAATCCGCCATAGGGGCAGGGCTACCAATAAGAATGAGACATCCTCTCTCCTTCTTATCGATTCGCTGCGACTTGCTTCGGGATGAGGCCCGACTTTCTGTTTCGAAGGGGGTGGCGCAGCTCACGGAGATTCACTCACGACTTCGAGGCACTGCCACAGGAACTTCATGCGATCCAGAACGCTCGATCTCTAATCGAGCAGGCGATCAGGACCTCGGGAAGCGCCTTCCACACACCTTATCGGTCACGAAGATATCCGGCTCGGATTCCGTGACGCCGAGCCGTGAGGACTTCGTCACCCGCTCCGCAATCAGAGCATAGGTGCAGCGGCCGCTCCAAAGCGCTCCTCGTGAGCCCAACGTGGAGCCGAAGCTGTCGTTGGCTACAAATATAAACACGACTACTGCAGTGCACTCACGACGCTCCCAGATCTCCATTCCCAAGGCTAAAACCCGAACCCCCGTCTGTGATGTCGTTTACGTGTGCTCAACAACGGACATCGTGAGCGCGTCGATTAGCGATCATCTCGCACATGCACCTGGTCGGCATTGCGGGGCTGGGAAGAAGCTGGGAAACTCCCAAGATGGAGGTCGTGAGTTAAGCCTACTACTGTTTCCCACAACCGGATCTTCGAGAGCAATCAGCTGGAGCGAGCGTCAAAAGGAACCCGTTAGCGCACGACCACTCCGGTCGCGCGAGTGAAGTTGTTTTGAGGAGCGTGGGAATTTCTAACAGAAATGAAGTCTGCTACCGTGAGAACCGAATTGCTCGACTGTGTCCAATTACCGCGAAGTGCTGATTTGCTTGGAACAGTCAAGGCCGTTCAAGCGTCCTCACTCGCGCTCATTCCATGCGGTTTTTTTTCTCGTATCGAATCATCTGTCGGACTTTTCCAAACGCTTGCTCTTCTTGCAGATGGTTTCCGCTCGGATCCTTACCATGTGGCCTGCTCCACTCCTGCTTGGCTAGCTTGGTGGCTAACTGCTCGGTTGGTTGGCTCGCTGGCCATTTGCCTCCTTCAGCAGTGGCGGCTCATTCGCGAGCGTCGGGTCATTCGCGGGCTTGAATAATCACGCGAAGTCCGAGATCACCCTGTCGAGAAGCGCGTCACGTGGAAAATTTGACAATAAACACGCTTCCCCTCTCGATGTCTTCCTTGCCGCTCAAACACAGCGTCGTGCGCATTTTACGGAATCAGTGAGGGATTTCCGACTTTTCAATCGCCCACCTGCTCTCTTTCAGGCGCCATGGATTTGTTATTGAAAGGATTCTCATCGATGCAAAAACTCAATATAGACCTCTTGAGCCAGGCCGCTCTGATCAGGAACTTCTCAAATCCTTCGGTCGACCGCGGAGATTTCGAACGCGTGCCTTCCCCGGGAACAAGTGAGTTTCACATCCCATGTCACCGGGGACGAGACAATGCGAGTCTATCGATTCCCAGCTTATTATCTGGGAATCGATAGACGGTCTATCTGCTCCTTGCATTCTCTGGTGACGTACAGCCGACCCCTCACTTGAAAGCGAGATTAGGTCCATTCAATGGATAACTTGACGAATCGATTCACGTTCGCGACGGTTTCTAAATCCGTCCGATCTCCGACGGATTTCTTCCCGCCTCCACCGAATGCAGCAGCCCGTCACCCTTGTCTAACTGGCTTTTTCTCTCTCACCATCAAATCGGAAAAGGAGAATCTCCTCAGAATTTAGCGCTGACCTCAGCCGTCGGCTCTCGGGTCAATGTGTACCCGTGCCCTGAGTGCTCGTACACTTCCAACAACCGAGCCAACGTGCAACGGCACGTGAACACGCGCCACCAAGTGCCCGAAAAGCAATGGCCGTGCAGGTACGTGAGCGGTCCTCGCGCTCGCTTTCATCGGGCGTATCTAATCCATGCTCAGTTGGCTTCAGGGTTTGATTCCCGGATGTAATAACGGGTCGCGCGCCTGTTCCAGGTACTGCACCTACCGAACTCATCGCAAAGATCATCTCAAGTCTCACGAGAAACGCCATGAGAAGAACATGGATCTGAGCAGCGATCCGTCCGTTCCACAAGTGATCGAATTCGACTAGTCCGTTCGTTGCGAATAGATCATTACAGTATTCATTCCTCACTTCTGAGAAGAAATTCCCGAAAATCGGATCGGTTTCCATGTGAGGCACCGCAACGCCGCCGCCCGTCTCAAAGTGCAATAGTGCCTTAGCACGCCTTGAATTAAGCACGATCGGAACACCCGATTTTCTAATATGCTGCTTGGCGTGCACTGCAAATACTCCGTGTGCAAGAATCTCAGGATCGTCTCGAGTCTCATCGAGCGAAGGACATCCTCAATTGTCGAAGACCTCCTCTAGGAAGAACTCACTCAGGCTAAAATACCTCCAACAATTTAGGGTTTTGGAGTCGCCGACGGCAACGTAGTTCATTTTAAGTGCCAGCTCAGCTTAGTTGAGCCATCGCAAGAAAAACTTCTTTTTGAGTATGTAGTAGCGATTAGATAGGGAAAAAAACGAGTCTTGTGTAGAGCGCCATAATTACATCGTATGTTATTCTCCTGAAAATAGGAACCACACAACTTCAGCAACAAGAGGTATTCTCAACCTGTAAGTTCCTGTTCGGATTCAGCTCGCTGCTGCAAAGAGCTCAAGCCGACAGTGTTCCTTCGATTGTTGCCTTCCATACGAAGTGCCTCTATTGACGAGAAAAAAAATTGTAGTTCATCGAGTCTCTGTTGGGCGTCGTGTGACCGCCGCGCCGCCATTTGGAGAAGTCATGAATCTCAGCAAACTATTGAGTACCTACTCGGGTAAACGCCCGCATCGGACCAAATCGATTATGATCCTGTATCCCGATGAATGAGGGAACGGGACGAGAATCTCTCTGCGACCCCTCCTGGAAGCGCGATATCTAGTTTTCCGCTCTCTGTATCCCTCTGAGAGTCTCAGATTTCAATTTCCGCGAGCGTGGGAAACTTGATCGTGTGGTTGGTACGATCCCACAGGACGATATTACATGTCATTGCTGATACTATTTCTATATTTAACTGTTCGTGCAGCATTATTCTGTCATCATCCAATAGCTATGCGAAGTTCAGAACGATGATGGCCATATCACTGTTTTCTAGAATGAGACTAAATCGCATTAGGAGCCTCTATGTCTTCGACAGGAAATTTGAATTAGGAACCAGATTGAAGCGTTCATCCGAACGATGATGTACTCTCTGAATGGTGATCCCCGAGGACCCGTCCCATTTGAGGCGTTGGTACCACCGCGGTACCGTGTTTTACAATAAGAATTCTCATATCTACACATAATGACTCTGGTCAATCGCCATGTTCAGTATTACGAAGACGTCGATGTAGACGTCGATGGTCGGGCAAGGCGGCGATGACGCGAGGAGATTAATAATCCCGACCATTTCGACGACATTTCACGAAAGAGAGTGACGTAAGAAAATTGATTGACTGAACGCAAGACAACGAATAAAAGCGGCAGCGGGGAGTTGATGATGGATGTACATAGAGACATGGATCTGATTTGCAATCACTGATCTTTAGGCTCTTCGCTTCAGTATTGATTAGCAAGGAATGTTACGATGAATGAGCCTTACTGGTTAGTAATTTTCGATGCAATAAACATCTATCGGTTAATATCTCACGGAAACGGATCGTTCTGTCTCAGGACGACTCGAGCAGGTGCCATCTCAGAGACGAAGGACCGAGTCTCGCATGGAATTTCCTCCATTTCGACGTGGAAAGCGGCTGCCTCCATGTACTGCGGTATCAGACTGGATGATCTCCGGAGACTCGAGAGTCCTCAATTCGTGACATTCTGATGATGGGTACAGAAAATTCCGCTAGACGGCCTCAAGACGTGATAGAAAGCTCTTCTGATCGGTTTTCGGAGCAATTGTCCTCCCGAGCAATGCTTCTCGATCTAGGCAATGGTCCACCAAATAACTCGGTGGACCGCTGTATCCATGCTTGAGTCACGAGCGCCCCACCAGTCCCGGTACTTCGAACGCCAGGTCTTGAGGGACATTGCTGCTGGGGGAAGAAAAGTGTTCGCTCTACGGAAAATTCACGGTAGAGGTATTCGTTGCGACGAGATTTCACGGTATGTATCATTCATATGTATGTTGCTTGGCCCACAATGAAGCATTCGGAACCAGAGAGGTGCGTTAAGCCGCACAATCGCGCATCAGCACGTCGTGTGCTCCGTCTCATAGAGATGTTGTACATATATATCTGATGTTCCATGGGAACGTCTCCTTCGCTGCGCCGGCTCTTCGCTTCGGTCTGACTGAGTCTATTCCAGTCGGGAACAGGCAGCCCTAGCTAGAGACTTGCACCGTAGCGCGTTGATGGTCACTCTGATGAAGACTCTTTTCGAGAATGGCTCTATTATTTTGACCGCTGCATTGAAGTATTCCAAGATTCATCACAAGACGCAGCGCGGCCGGACTCGGGGGAGCTCATGGTCGAATCGGTTGCTCCTTCTCCGAGCTAGAGGATGCGGATCCTACCAGGTGGCCGTGATAGCCTCCCACCACCGTACACGGACTTTTGGGTAAACACGGGGGAAGAAGATGAAGAAGTCGATTCTTGACAGGCCCTCACGTTCTTCTTCCTCGCCTGAATGCCGGAGCGATGGTCCTTTGGGTAGTGAGTACTCTTTGCCTTCTCTAGAACAGCTGGGAAAAATGAGTCGATTCGATGCATTTTGCATAAACGACTTGCAGACCTGTATGTGGATGGTATGGGAATTTCTCGTGGCTTCATCATTCTAACTACCATCGCAGCTTGCTTTCCCTCAAATTCTTCGCCCGGAGGATCGATCCCTGTATTGTGCGCTCCGGACCTCGATTGATGACTTGTATCCTCCATGCTGAGCGCTCTGATCGACGCCGGGTATCAGCATGGTGCGAATTGATCGCTGGCCGGATTCCCAGCAAGCGAAGTGAACGTCCGGCTCAACACAAATCGTTCAATTCTGGTGCGGTCTCATCATCACGCCACTTGTCGCTAAGCAACGCAACGATATCGGGAGCGCGACCGAATACGGAATTCTCACCGAAGAAAACGAAATGCTCTCGATACAATGGCTCGAGCGTGAAACGAATACTTCGTCCGGCCGTACCCTAGCGGCTGAAACACCGTCGGGAGGAATCGTGCCCTCCAAAGATCGTCTCCTCATCGGCGCCGAGTCGACTGTGCGGTGCATATGTTCTCTCTTCCTGGAGAGGTGGATTGACGTTGACTTGTTATGAGAACGTAGCGGCTACAATCGGCGCTTCGGCCGCTCCGTGTCGAGGAAACCTCCCGTGAGCTTAGGCTGTGCCGAGAGACACCGTTCGAAAGCTACGCGGTGCTCCTGGTTCAAGGCCTCTCTTCCGGTGGCAGACAGGTTCCAGGAATGAAGGTAGGATGTGGGAGACGGTAGTTCGGGACATGGGTGAAGAGGAGAGGTTTTCGAGTCTTCTGACGCCTTTTCCCGCATTTAGATGTCTTCATCACGGGGTCTGATTCTGTATCACGCGCTTCCTTCGTCATACTCCCAAAAAGTTGTGTTGGCCCTGAAGTATCTCAACCTGACGTACGAGAGTCGATTGGTGAATTTGTTCGACGGGGAGCAACTCGAACCTTGGTTCCTCGACCTGAACCCTAAAGGCGAAGTTCCCACATTGAAGGATGGGGACCTCGTGCTCACAGACTCGGCGGATATCATTCAGCACCTCAACGACAGATACGACACCCGCAGTGAGTTTTCCGGAGGAAGGATTTCCCCCGACCCGCATAGTCGCTGTTCTATACATCATACTCGTTGCAACTACGTATAAATATATCACTTCGATTGAAACGGGAACCGCCTAAGAGCTGAGTTGTAAAAAAGAGCACGCGTGACTAGAGCTTCTCGAGTGTCACGTCACGGTGCCGGTCGAGCGCCAATAGGTGGCGATCGGCCAGCGAGTGGCGCCAAAAGCTACTCCCGAAATACCTACGGGGATTCGCCGTATCCGTTCGCAGGGTCTGACGAGAAACTGATTCCGAATCCCGTGACGCCTGTCGGGAGATCTGTCGCTGAAGTGAATCAACTGATATGCAGCGTGAAAACCTTCGTGCTCACCTTCGGAGCGGCGTTCCACCCTCAGCATACGGAAAACTCGACGCTGAGCGATGAAGAGTCGAAAGGTCGACGAGGTCAGCGGGCTTCTGTGTTGTCAAAATTTCTCGTTCGATCCACCCGTAGTAAACCTAGAGACCTCCAGCGCGAAAGATTTTCAGGAGAAAAAAACTTCCCAACGATACCCATCTCTCCACGCCTAGAGTCATATCTATCAGCTCGTCGAAGCCAGTATAAACACATCCAGTCCCTTTGTTTTGGCATGATGAGTACTTTGATGCTGTCCCGTGAAACGCGCCTGAATTTCTGGAAGCAGTGGCCTGCATTGTCGAACAAATACCTAAGAATCCTTAAGCCAGTCATCTCCCTTGCCATGATTCGAATGCTGACGTCCGCCGAGTTATCTTGAGAGCCCAAACTGAGATAGGTCATTGCTATTGAATATTTTTCAGCATTCGTGGATAAAATGACTGAATGCATCAGGGAGAAGCTGGCGGTTGCAAAGCCTCCGTACAAAGAATCATATACTTACAAGCTGACGAAAATATCCACTGGCGGTGCCCTGCTAAAGGATGAGAACGTGTTTCTGGCGGAACTGAAAAGCACTCGCGAAGTTCTCGAACGTATCGAGGATCATCTCAGCCGGAGTAAGATGAGAGAGACTGAGATTTTCGCAATGATGTGGTTTCAACCCATATCGGGTCCCACATATCCACTATACCCCGTGGATGTTGATGGAATGTCTCAATGTTTCCTTCCAGGTCAAGGCAAGTGGATTTTTTTCGACCACTTGACGCTGGCCGATATATCCTTGGCGGTCCTACTCTACCGCATCAAGAAACTCGGGCTACAACACCACTTCTGGGCTGAAGGATCTTTACCTAATGTAGCATCTTATTTGGATCGAGTTTTGAAAGATCCAACCGTCGCTGAATCACTCTCCTAATCTCGTGGTGAAGAAGCTTTCCAGGGGAAATAAATCATTGGTATGGCTTCCAATTATTCGAGTCGTCAATTTCATCGAACCTGATCGATGCGCAGCGAAAGGGTTCTCCTCCGCGACGCGCAGTGAGGGTCCCAGCCGCCCCGGAGATGACTGTTGAAGTTGCTTTGCTCCGAGGGTTCCTCACGAGCTTAGTCTCCAAGGAAAATATGGGGGTATCCTCTCGGCACCAGTCAGGCATCAGAGATCGAACTTTATTTTTGGATCCGCTATCAGGGGAGCCATTCCGATCAGGAGTGACAGGAACGACGAAGGATGAACCGTCCGAATCGTCATCATTGGTCCTCTTAACTGATGTCTTTGATCAACATGTCTTCGAACTCTTCGTAGCAATTCCACGCTGCCAGACGCGCTCGGGGACGAACATCATCCTCCAGCTCGGTGACCCAAGTGTTGAACTTAGGGTCGAGACGTCATGAGTTAGAAAGTCATTTCTAGAATCTTCCACGAGAACAATCAGCCCCTCCCCCCACCCCAATGGAGCCCCTTGCAGCTCTGCCGATATTCGGCCGAGCTCGTTTCGTTTAAGGAAATTCAAGGGTCGTTTCTCACCAACATATTGCCGTCGTCTCCGTTGCTCCGACATATCATCCTCAAGCTCTCAACTAGGGGCTGTCCGCCGAAAAGCTCTATGACCGCATCATTGAATTCTTTTGAAAACTTTGAAAGAAACGACATGTCTTTGAATGAATGTCTCCTTGTCTCGAAGGCGATACCTCATGGAGTCTCTCAGGATGAACCACAAAATGTTGAAGGTTGCGTGTGTTTTGGATTCCTACTCACCTTCTCGGGTAGCCCCTTCATGAAGCAGTCGATGACAGGCCTTATAGCATCCAGGCTGTAGACTTTGGTCTGAGTTCTTAGAGTTCGGGCTCGAATGATGTCTGAGTTCAATTATTCACTTATTTCCAAGCTTATGAATGGTGAGCTTCCGTCAAAAACCTTACCGCAAAAATTGAAATCAGGTGAATTAGACATCTTATACTCGATGGTATAGGTGTGGCCATTCAAAGCCTTGCAGCCCTGGCGGAGACTCAGAAGCAAGAAAAACAATAAGGGAACGAACATAATGAGCTCGCAATGAATGAGCTTATGAAATTCCTTGAGCAATGTTTTAAAGAGCGAATGTCGAATTTCGCTATAGAGCAATTTCATTGTTTGGACAGACCTGGCCACTTGCTTTCAAGGGAAAATTCATTCCGAGGGAAAAACCGCGCCTGATGGAAAGATTGACTTCCGGTACTCTCAGGACGGGAGAGTGAAACGCAGTGGTCGACGGTATCACCTTCTCCTGCAATGACTGGAATTCTTCGAGCGTTCGATCTTGGATAGGTATTCTTTAGCGCCAACCCAACATTCGGAACGCACGGACCGAGAGTGCGGGAGAGACTCCTAGTATATGTAAACACAGTAGCTGGAGGCTCCGCAGAGGAGCCGCTTCCCGCCGCACTCGGTCATTCCGATTACGAATTCCTGGGATGCGGACTGTGAAGTAATGCGACACTTAGAATGACGCTTGAGAACTAAGAACGCATGTTTTTTTTTCTGAGTTCGTCGATCTCAGACAGAAGAATCCTGAGCTTGAGAAATGAAAATTCTCCATGACGCTTGTTTTCCGTGCCAACGTACCTTTGACGTCCGCCTGCTGATGACGTTGCAGTGCCAAAATTTCCGAACAAAAATTACGATGGGATCAAAGAGAGTTTCCTGATAAGGAATTATTTCTGCTCCTTATCCACAGGAACGTTTCTCGAGGGTTCGTTCCAATAATTTTGAGTCAATGAGTGTCGCCTCCGGAAGTGATCTTTCATAATCGAGTTTCGATGCGAACACTGCGGATTATGGAGATTCGGGGCAGCAGCTCCCCCGGATCGTCGGCCACCGTATACGGTGCTGGCAGGGGCGTACTTGAAAATTTTCAGGGACGTACCCCACTTGTGGGAGGCGGAGAAAGGCCCAAAACGGCGATCCGCTCTTATATTTCAGCATTACGATTGAAAATCTGGGGGGGGGGGCATGGACTCCCACCCACCTTCCCCCCGGGGTACGTTTTCCGGGTAGAGGTTGCAATATTCACACCAGTTTCCGCTCTTCTTTCTCCGCAGAACCTAGTTTCTGGAACTAGTCGCCGAATTGCGGAGTGAAATCATATATTATTGCTGCGTGCGCCCCGTACACACCTTTCTGAGGGATCGGCGCGGGACATGTCTTCCAAGATAGATTTCAGGCTGCGACGGAGTTTCTCAGGTCGAGCCTGTGGATGTTTATAGTTTCCTTCCTCTTTCTTTCCTTCCTCTTTTCAAGCTCTCTGGTATTCGCGCGGACTTGAATCGATCTCGGTCGGTTCGCAGGCTCCGCTCTGAATTCGATGCCCGGTCCCCGACTTATGTTTTTTTTTAGGAGATACATCACCATCACACGCCTTGCATTTCACCAATTCAGAACGCCGACGCGGGAGCTGTAAAACTCTAGAATCACATGCTCGAAATCTTCCCAAATGTCCCTATCCCCCGTGAGCTTGGTCCACTCTTTCCCCTGTGATTTCGAGGCTGCAGGACCTCCGATCCTCGTATATCAGCTCTTGTGGAATCTCCTCTTCGTCTCTTTGGACAACCGATGCAATGATCGTCTCCCTTCTTGATCGAATCTCACGGGATGGTGTCCGAGGTCCTGTGACGAAAACGTTCGCCGCCTCGGGTGGCCAGAGCCTATCTGTAATCCTCGTGATTCTCAATGCAGCCGTCGGAGAATGGCGGATGCACCTTAGCGGATGAGTTCGGAGCCTATTCCCGGCTGTCGGAGTTCGGATTCACGGAAAAAAATAGTTAATTACGTACCTAATTGAAAATATAAACGACAAAAAGATAGCGGTGCAACAATCGGAAAATGAAGATGAACGAGTACAGCAAGCCACAGGGAATAAATTGCCTCGACCCCTGGAAGGAATGGCGGAATTCGCAGGCGTCGCTTGGGAACTTCGGGATAAAACTTCGTTCGTATACTAGTGTCGAGGAGGGAAACATTTTGCGAATGAAGAAGATCACTTTTTAAGCCGTGAGGTCCTCTTGAGGATCGAGTTTATGAATGTAGAAGGGGCTTCAGTTCTACACAGATTCGTTAGACGCTATCACGCCATTCCACCCTTGTCGTTTCCTTCCTCTAATTTTCTTTGTGCGATCATAGAACAGGAGATGATGAAAGACTCGAAACGGATTTGAGGCATCCGAAGATACGGTAAGGATCTTGTGTTTATTCCATTGACGTGGTCACACGAGGAAATCCGGTCACCCCAATTTATTTTTGCGAGGGCCGGATATCCAGTTTTCTGGTATTTTCCCCGAGTCGATTTCTGCGGCGCTCGGAGCGTGTGAGCCGAAACCGGAGAGAGCTCCCGTGATCCGCATCGGTCCAACGACGCTTGTTTTCAACCCGGGCTTTTGCCTTCTCCTTGATTTCTCATAATCGATCGGAAGCTCCCCTCCCACGACCCGAATAGCATTGGGATATCGGCGGCATTTGGTTTTGTGAAGGAAACCGCCGCCCCGTCCGAATTCCTCATCATTGCGGGGTTTACTGTCGTCGTCCTCAAGTCGAATATCTGGAGCGAGGCCGTTGAGAGTTCTAGGAGGACGATTGATGCTCCACTTCCTGTCAATCTTACAATCAATATCTCCACTGGTATTGGCGATCACCGCGCTTTTAGATATCCTCCTGACTTACCGCTCTTGATGAATATGGTTTTCACGAGATATATCGATCAGCGTGTGCGGCTGGGACGGCTCGGGACATCAAATCGGGACGCCTTCTCCCTCCGACATCAGCTCGCTGAAGAAGAGTTCAGATGGTCGCCCGTACCCAGGCGGAGGTAAAATGAGCTTCCTCGGGACGTCAACAACATAGCTCCGGAATCTGGAACGGTCTACGGAAGGCATCCAGACCGGTTGGAAGTCGCTGCTCCTCCGCAAATGGTAGTTCGGGTACACGAAGGTATTTGCTCGATAATCGATTCATTCCGGACTCGCGTAAGAGCGTGTCCATGTCGGAATATCCCATCGGGAGGGCACAGCCTGCATCATCGTATTCGACTCCTACCGATTTTTTGTGGGGTTCGCTCCGCGGAACACTTAATACACAGCGGAAATCAAGGACGCGAAGCGCGATCAATGTCCCGCAACCGCAACCGGGAGGACAAGAGAGTTCGGACTTGAGGTTCATTGCGCTTTCTGTGATCGTGATCAGAATCCCATTCACCGGGAAAAATCTTTCGAAATCTTCATCTTCTCTGGAGCATTTATCCCGTTCGGAAAACTCGCGATCACACCACATATATCCAATTCGATTGAGCGTAACGATTCACGCGCTTCACGACAGCATTCGTCTAGCTGGGAGTTGAAGCAGCTTCGAATGATTGACTTTATATCACGGGGTGAGGCAGCACAGTCTTCTGGTCCGATTGTTTACGTCTGATTTTGTGCGCCTGTCAATATCGGAATTGACGAAATTATTTCTCATATATGAGGTTTTTCCGGGGCAAAAACGTAAACTCCGGCTCCGACAGGCGAGTCGGAAGTTTTTGCCGACTGAGGTGATCCGTGACGGATCTCTTACGAAGGTTGATGCTATCGAAGGAAATCTTGACGAAAAATATGTCTGCCGAAACAACCGGATATTAAAGCTTCCCTGAAGCAACTAAACCGTCGACGGAACTCGAGGATTCCTATCGGGTTTTCCTCAGTACCTCCACAGTTCTACTCAGTTCGGACAAGATGGAATTTCAGAGAGAGAAACGTCTCCATGACATCTTGTCTGAATGACGAAATCTCAGGAGCCTATCGCACCTCGTGGCTCCACGCATGCTTTCGTCACGGGCATCACGAGCCAAAGGATGCGGACGTGATCGGTACTCGATACAGGGCACTTCGTGTGTTTCTGATACTCCGGAGTTCTACCCATTCCGAGTTGCACGGTAGGCACCTTCGTGCACTTATTCGAATTCGCTGCAAAATGTCTGGATCCCTTTGAAGCGTTCGAGGGGCGGGTAAAGAAGTCCTGAAGAGCTCCGCGGCTCCCTCGATCTGCCTTTCCCCGGCAGAATATCCACGTAAATATCCACGGATATTTACATTCATCTCATCAGGCAGTTCACTGAACTGGGACTTTTTGCTCGCTCGAGGAGTTTACATAACATTCCGGGTCCTGATCCGGAATTCATCCTCCTAGGTTAGATGCTCTTCGGTCAAATCGGAGAGTTCCTGAACTTGCGGCGTGGCGGGAGGAGGCTGTTGTAGATTGAGAGAAAAGCCAGCGAGCTTTCAAGGGCAATGAGATGTCCGTTGTTCCCTTTCTTCGACGGCCGTTTCCGATTGATCTGAGTGGAGCTGAGAAGCTACGTGCGCAATTACGTCATCATAGAGGAGGGTGAACAGTGGGGGAAGCGAATGGACAAAGACAGACGAACACTTCATGTGGGCTCCAGAAGCGACACTATCATTCCACGATGTCGGGTCTCAGAGTACTCCACTCGAGCTGCCTACTCATATTGATCTTGTCAGCAGGCCTCGGGTCCTGTAAATGGCAAGACATATTCAGTGATTTCAAAGATGTGAACCAAGCCTTGATGAGACAGTTCTTGCCCGTGGTCCAGGAGGCGCTCTTCACGGCGGACGTGCGGTCCGAGTGCTCCGGTGCTTTGTTAAAATTGCTGTCTTCAACAAGAGAAGGGAAAGCATGGGCTGTGAAGTGTGAGTTCACGAGTTCCGATTTGTGCCCAGAGGCAGTCGTCAATTCTCGCAGAAGCGTTCAGATTCTCGTCTCGAAATCTTGGATTCCGAAAGAATAGAGAGATTCCGGGAACAATCGTGACGCTGACGAAAAAAATCTTCTCTCCTTTCTGAACTATGCAGTTCTCACGAGCAATGGGGTGTTCCCTGTCGCCCCTCTGTACGGTACGATGGGAGCCCCTGGACACTACAGGCAATGCGTGACCGCGAAATCTCCCAGCGGAGAGAACAGCTTCCAGGGACAGTATTGCACACTTCTGATAGACCCGCATCAGGATTTGCTGCAGACGTTCCTTAATTTCACGATCGAGAACGGAGATCTGGCCGTGAGTTTCCCCTTGCTGATCTAGACCTAGCGATGCATGTGGTTCATTCACGCAGTCGGATCCCTTCAGGGCTCTCGCATCGAGCAGTAACTGTGCAGAATTTCTCCCGTGCCATTCGAGCAACAGTACCAACTCCTTATATCAGAGATTTCGGGCTAAGGCCTCTGCATCAACCAGTCACGGATAGCTCTGGACGTGGGATCTGTCAGCAAACGGATCCCTCTCGAAGCGTCTCTTCTTCGGATGAACGATCCTCCGGATCGATTGCTTCCGCTCTATGGGTTCTGACAGACATTCGGGAAATTCCTACGCGAGCGTTCCGTCACCGGCATCGGAAGAGCTCACCATCAGGATCCGGGCGTGAGTTCTGTGAAAACCGACCCGGATGCGGACGCTCTCGTCAACATTCGAGCCGAGATACGAGCACTTGTGACCCTCGGACGTCTCTCAGGGATCGGACAACCGGACATCGGGGTTCTTCCCCAGATGCTCCGACGAGCTGTCGGGACCGCTTCTTGACAAGCTCTCCGCCTGGGAGTCGATATTGAGCTCATCGTCCTGCGACGAGCTCCGTGATTCAGCGAATTGTTCTGCTTTACAGCCTGGCACGAGAGTCACGAAGAATATCAACTATGACCATTTGTCGATCCGGTCTCATTTCGGAATTTGTGTACCGTCTACATGCGACGGCGATGAGATTGCTGCGATCGCGTCCCTCGGTGAGTTCATCCCTCCTTCCTTTGAATCGTTCACAGAACATTTCATCAACACGCTGAGGACATGACACATGACCCATACAGAAGAGGTCGTTCATCAGAAGAAAAACCGTAGAGACAGATCCGGTTCTTTCCCTTGGACATGCTGTGTAATACGCTGGAGTCGACAATGTTACGCAAGCTTCATTCTTCACCTCGTTTCTTTCGTCGCCGTCTCTCGCGGTCGATGTACTGGAAAGCGATTCTCTTCGAATTTCCGCTCCCGTCGTCAGCGACAGCGCCATGCAGCGACGTACCCCTCCCCTATCGCGATGTCGTTTTCGATCGGGATCGGGGGAGAACTACCGGCCCGGGTCCCGAGTTATTCTAAATGTAGATACTAATCAAAATTTCTGAGTCGTATCGGGAAAGCTCTACCAAAGCCCCATCACCTCGCGTTTCACCCCCTCGGTGAGGTTCCCGGGCTCTGCGGTACCTCCAAACGATTTGCCTCTTACGAGGAGAAACGACACGGACAGTTTCTGTCTCGCGGCTCAGAAGACGTGAAATGTCGGGAGTGGGACGGCTCGTCGTCAATAAGTAGTCATTTCGCGGAATCGTTGCATTGGTTCCTCCTTTTTTTAAAAGACCGTAGCAATCGGTCTGATTGTCACTGATCCGGAAGCAGAGCTTGGATAGGGGGAATTGGGGCCCTCGAGCGTAATTATTGCTGCTCGATTTCGCTGACAGCCTTATGATTAAAAAAATTGAATACTTACAGCAACGGCTAAGTACGAGATGGGGATTAGGGTCGACGGTTGCCAGACATTGGAGAGTGAATACGAGAGAGATTCGATCTACTACGTGGCTTGGTAAGGGCAATATTTGAAGATTTGACGGACCAGGAATGTCTCAACCCCCAGATCGCTCTGAATTTTCCTCCGCTCAATATTTACGATTCCTGGGAATCGCTCAGGGAAAGTAAAGTGAAACTCCTTGTTGACGATCGGTCAAGCCTCAGAAATTTCTCCGTGAGCTCCTTGATGAAATTTTCTGTTTTTGCGTCCCCGCCAATGCGCTCAGCTCCTACTTTCTTTCCAGCACAACGGCGTTCATCCTCATCGGACTCGGCTTGTTTTGCGGAATTTTAAGATGTGTCCCGCAGTTCGATTCCGGTAAGCTCGCTTCCTCCCGACGGAATTTAAGTATCGACAGAATTTCGAGCCGCGAGACCGACGACTGAGTCGTCAGATTGCTTTACAATTCATGCGACAAGGAAAAATGGTCGTGCTCCGATGCCAATAATTTCTACCGCCAGCCGATTAGCGGTCGTACCCACTTTAGGATGAGCCACGAGCGCTATCGGTCCCACAACTTCCGGTTGACCGAAGGGTTGAGCGACCTGTACAATAATTTCAATCGTCTCGAGCGGCCAAAGGAGGCGAGAAGCGTCGTCGGAGACTTTCCACCGCCGCACCGTCGATCTACGTCGTCGGATTCCTAAGAGCAATAAATTCACCTGGGAGCTCTGGAGAACTTGTTGTTCTGTGGTCCGCTGCGTTCTCGACCGCACGTATACCGCGATCACATCGAAGAACAAGCGAGGGTGTTGTGACGTCAGGACGTCGATCGCGGACGGTCTCCTGTGCAGACGAAGTTTCCCCATCGATCCTCAACTCTTGCGCGACCGGATGACGAAGAGGACGTCAGCCAAAGGCGCGTCCAGTGTCATGTGAACGCGAAAATACCGGTCCGGCCTGATGGTCGCTCTCGACATTGTTCGATATTTCAAGCTTATAAGTTTTTTCTGGACTTTTGTAATTTCGTTCTCACACGGCACGAAAACGGTCGAGACCCACATGGGCCTTCAGAAAAGCGATCGGTTGTCCACGCCCGTAATTCAGATGCTTGTTGACATATCACGGAAATCAGTCAGCAGACTGTCTGTTCTGTGATCCCGAATGAGTTTCGGACAACCCGAGATGTGTCAATGAGCACATACCGACTTGTCGGAAGCGCTTCCAGCATGTCGGCTTCACCCCGTGCTTCACAAACTTTCCGGCGGTGAAGCCGTCTACGGCGAAGTGGGAGCTCCCTTGATTTCTCTTGACTCATAATTGTTCTAACTTGTGTCGCTTGAATTTCCAGTGAAATGGAGCGGCGTCTTCGCACTCCAAACGGGATACTATCATCTCACTAAATCTGTCGCGCCTAAGGATAAGAATCTGGCGTTTGTGGGAGGCATCCGCGCATTGATGGCGTTCTGGGTAGTACTTGGTCATACCTACTTCATGAACGATCCCCAAGCGACTTGTGAGTATTCGGATAATTTTATTCCGTTGGGCGAATGTGTCAGGCAGTGAAATAATGCGAGCCAGGCGGCTCCTGGTGAGCACTGGCGTAGCAACGATCTTTTCACGGATGGGGCGGTCAATGTCGGTCAATCTTCAAGGCAGAGGGGGCGTTCGTACTCCGCTCGCTAACCCAACACGGGGTATGAAGATAATACGGGGGCTACGCCACAGCTCGTGCCTGTTCCTCTATTTCACCAAATGTGTAAAAGCGGGAGAGGGATTATGCGAGGTAGATCATTGAACCTGAATCTCTTACAGATACCCTAAAGGAAGCTTTCGTCACCATACAGACATTCTATGGACAGATTGTATCGACGGGTGGATTCTTGAGCGTGTCTACGTTCTTTTCGCTGAGGTTCGTTTCCTATGGCAGGGTCATTTGTGAAGGTCCGGATGGCGGTTTCCTGATTCGGAGGATCCGTGTATAATCCTGAGTTTTATTTTCCAGCGGTTTCATGCTGTTCTACAGCTTGGTTGCTCGGCAAAAAGCGCACTCTGGCTTCGCGCTATACGTCGTTGCCGTATTCAGACGATACGTTCGGTTGACGATTCCTGCGATTCTCGTCGTCTTGATGACTTTGATTCTTCCATCTATTGTGCACGGGGTTTATACGAATCATTTCTTCACGATGTACACGTCCGCTTGCTACACAGACTGGTGGAGAGTCTTGACCTATTCGAATACCTTCGCAACACTCGACAAAATGGTTCGTCTATCAAGCCTCTCAAAAGAAGGATCGAGTTCCAAAAATCTTCTCACATCTTCATGGACCTCCCCTCTCATGTGGTTCCCAGCGCGAGTCGTTTCTCTGCGACGGCATTTATCGGGGGAGGAAGGGGCAGGGATGCGGCCCGTCCCGGGTCCCTCTTTTATCCACCAAATCTTGATTCTGGCGTCCGAATGGGGGATTCCCCACAGAAGTTTCCGCCGCTTTCGGGGAAGGGGGGAACTGACGCAAGACGGCGGTCGGCGGAACAGAAAAACTCGGGGAAAGTCGGTGAATCCTAGAATTCGGGGAAAATCTCGTTCCTGGGGCGGCCATTCTGGCATCTGTCCCTGGCGCCACATCGCCTATTCACGGCGCTGCTCCTCCCGTATGATGCAGAAAGATAAGCTCCCGACGACAGGACGTGATTAGGCGCTGATCCAGAGAGGAGCTTCTGGGAACCAACGAGCTCATGTCTCATGTCCCCAATGCTTGAGTATATAGGTCGTGCGGGGGTCTGTCATCATTGTGGACTCAGGACCCCCGCCCCGTCCCCAGGAGTCTGATCTGACTCTGAGAACTTTTTGTGCTCTCTCACGGTCAGAATACTCACTAAGGATGATTTTACAGTGTCTCTTCCATTACTGGTTCCTATCCGCTGACATGCAAATGTTCATTGCCCTGACGCCTTTCGTTCTTCTATACATTCGGTGAGTTGCTCGTATCAGCGGTCGACCGTGAGCTGCACCTGTTCTTATGCTCGTGGTTTCGAGTGGATCAGATCGGCACCGTATAGCTGAGATCAGTCGCAATTAGAATTCTCCTTGTTCAAGGCATCCTCGGGCTGTAACTTCGTTCTGGATAGTCTGTATGCTCCTCGGCTGCAGCTGGACCGTTTACAGGACCGAAGCTGAAAACCTGCCATCATTTGGCTTATTCACCGCCGACTGGATGTGAGAACAATGCCCCCGAAATTGGATTCAGCTAGATGAGAAAACTCAATATCCTATAGATCCCGTCAGACGGTTGATACGCGATATTGCTATAACCTTTAATCAATATGGTCATCATTCCACCGCAGGCTGTTCTACGAATTCATCCATTTGATATACACGAGAACCGCTGCTCATTTGGCGGACTTCGTATGCGGAATACTCACAGCTGTACTCGTTCACAAAAATCCAGACCTGAAGCTGAGTCCAGTAAGTCGCCTTACTCCGAGTTGAGCTAGCTCGGCTCAAGTCAGGATTCATGCACAGATAAAGGGCATATTCTGAACCGACCTCTGAGATCCACAATAACTGAAGAGTCAGAGGGAAGCTGAGAGTCTTCATCTCGAAAGACTTGTCGAGCATTCTCATTATTTCAATGGAAACTTTTCAGATCGTCCGGCTGCTGTCCGTTTCACTGAGTCTTTTGATCGCGTTCCTCGTCATCGAATTCCCGATGCTCTTTTACAGTGACGTCTCAGTCCCTCATGCTTTCGATCTCTTATACGCTGGCGCCAACAGATTACTTTGGAGCATGGCCTGTTGCTGTCTGGTCTTCCTCATGGCCACTGGCAACTTGCGTGAGTTCAGATAGGTAGCGGTCGAAGATCTGTATCAATACGATAATTGATAATCGTCTCTGATAGAATGTAGGACGCAGATTATAAGGGAGTGACGCTTCCCTTCTAGAATGCATGTCGGATTTGCTGTCAAGCAAGCCCCTCGTGATTCTTGGTCGACTGTCGTTCGGAACGTATCTCGTCCATGTGCCAGTCATGCTCTACTTCATGGGAGCTGCCTCTGCGCCAGCTCAATTCTCCCACATGATTCTGGTTAGTGGACGTCTTGGAATCACTGCATGGATTCAGATACTGGATTTCGACGACACACCGCTCTGAGACTCGCAGATTGGATGAACTTCAACTATGATCCAATTGACAACTAATGGGAAATTCCCCCCTCGCAGCTACGGGTTGGCTTTGGCAACTGGCTCATCAGCATTTGTCTCGCTCTGGTCTTGTACATGTTCGTTGAATCTCCGACTGCGCAGATCGACTCGATGATGTGGAACAAACGAACGGAAACGAGCAAAACCAAAGCGAGCAACGGCTTTTCGCTCAACAAGAAAATCGACGCCTCCACGGGCTTGAAGGAAATAAAAGTGGAAGCCCCGACAAAGCTCTGAGCTCTATCGTCTGCCTCCTCCCCATCTCCAGCGAATGAGATGGAGCCATTTGTACATTATTGAAACATTCTTATTGATCGACAGACGAACGCAACTAAGTTATTCACTCCGGAGACATAGGCCTATGAGAATATATGTCCGGACTATTCAATAAATGATAGTGCTGATATTTTATAAATGACACCATGTCGCATTCGCCATTTGTTGATTTGACAATGAGTCCTTCGCGTAGGATTCCGAGCCACGCGTTGCTCGGAGCCGGATGCGCGCGAGGGGAGCAGCAGGGGAAGAAGATGGCATCTAATGAAATCATCACTCAGATTCATCAGCGAGATCATCCCACGGAGAAACTCGTGGCATTGTTGACGCGAAACAGACTGTAGCTGGCAGCTATTGTAGGGATCTGTAAAAATGTGAGTGCTCGCTTGTGGCTGTCGTCTGATTGCAGATGGGGCGAGAAGAAAGCTCTTCACCATTGATGACTACAACTCCCGAACATATTGGTTGCTTATTAATGAAGGAACCGGATGAGAGACTCGCCGAGTCACGCCATCATCGGCAAGTTACATATGGAAATCGCCCGATGATTCGGCGCTTGGGGATGGAGTGCGGCGATCAAGGATTCCCTCTTCCTTATGGACGTCTCGAGATCAGGCTTTGAGGGATTGTAAAATGAATTCTCAGAATTTCAAACCGAGAACACCAGGCTCAAAATCAGAGGAGGCAGTCCGGCACGATAGCCGCTTGATGGTTTTGGTGATTTTCGTTGCTCCTTCTGTGGACTACAATGTGTTTATCTCGCCGTGCCATCTAAGCAGCGGAAGTTTTCCCCTCTTTCCAGTAGTAAGGGGGATTTTCCCGAGTAAAAAGGCGAGCCTGAACTCGGCACTCCCCAAAATCTGTCTTCAATCTCGCTGTGTCACTTGTGCCAACGATGGGCGTGCACATGGCGTCGAATAAACTGCTTCTTGTCTACGGACTCGCGGTCCTTGTGTTCTTCAGACTGGTGGTAACTGGCGCCGAAGCTTCGAGTGAACTCAAGAAAAGTTGGTTGGATACGCGATTCGGATTTTACTCGCTCTTTCCATGATGACGCCGCAGTCTCTTCTGAAGCCTCGAGAGACCCGCGCTTCAGAGTCAGCCTCAAATTATTCGTTCGATCTCGATTACAGAAGCAGCGAAGCAGGAGGGTCAAGTCGTCCTCGACAACCGTCAGATCATCCCCGGCTGGGGTGGTCCCGTCGGACCCTGGGGCGGATGGCCGTGGTACGGCGGTATGAGCACCGTCATGTTCGCAGCACTCATCTACTCGTTGTCGGTGCTACCGGCGATGCTACAATTGTTCAGTAAGTGCGATTTCAAGATTCAAGTAGGAAAATTTGTATATGTTCAGCCCGAAGAATCGGTTGAGTGATCTAGTTTCAATACCATCAATACGGTAGGGCACCTGCGTTCTTCAGACCATTACCATTCGTATCACCATCACGGGCCGCCACATCGGAGCCCCGTTTCGAATTTCGTGAATGGTTTCCTCGGCATCAAACGGAGAAGCGATGATGGTACCGTAGAGGGAGGAAACGAGTTCGACTTGCCCGATACACTTCTGAGAATGGCTACTTCTGATACGCTCGGCAAAGGATTCAAGATCGCGAAAAACATTGTCACCGAGTGGCCAAGCGCCTCGAACGATTGCAAGTGAGTGGAAACTCGGAGATATTCGCTTCATATGGTCTTCACGAGTGTCCAAATCGACTGCCGGGCACGTCGGAGCCATAACCCGACTTCTTCATTATCGCAGGGCAATGTACATTTGTCAGCTGACTCGAGAGGCGATACAGATCTCAAGCGGTGACCAGGCCGGGGAGAACGAGGTCCGTCAGAAGAGAAACGCGGAGGGTCGGAGCAGAAATCAAGACGAGTGTGTGACGAAATTCAAGAAATGTCGGAGAGACGTTCTCTTCAGCTGAGACATCTTCGAAAACAGAATTTAGACGTAGTTCGCTTCAGAGGGCAGGAAGAACAAATTTCCTAGCGTAATATTGTTCCGAGTCCGCTTAAATGAGGAAGCTATTATTATAAAGTATTAGACGCTGGCGTCTGAAATCGAATAAATAACGGATGATCTGGAATACTTGAGTTTCGGAATCTCCGTGGAGGATGTCGAAATTCGTCCTGCTCCGGGAAGCCGCTCCCTCCACGGAGAGTACTCGTCTGACGGAGCTTGCAGTTATTGTTGTGGAGCCGGACTGCTGCAGCATATGCTATCCTCGAATAGGTCATGCAGCTACGTAGCTTCTCGGCGATCATTTCTCGCCTCGAGCCCCCACGCTGTAAGTGGCTTCACGCTCCTCATGGGAGTTATTCATGAGACCGGAAACTCATATGAATACCCGGAAGCAGGTTTGAAATATAGAAGCACGGGCTTCTATCGGGAAATTCACGGAGGTCGGGCTTACGGATCCCTGATGTTGACCGGGAGCTGCGTATGTAAATATTCGGAGCAATGATCTTCGCTCCCGATCATCGGCCGCCGGGCATGGATTGACCTCGTGTCTACGTTCGGAGCTATGGTCGTGCCGAGTCATGCGATGTCTCCTTCCGAGTGGTCCTGATGATTCTCGAAATTCCGCGTTCCGCAAGGAGCGGATCCATGCATCAGTGTCAGATCTGAGTGTTTATAATTCCATGATTTCAACTCAAACAGTTCTATAGTACGAAAGGAGTTTGGGCCCAACTCGAATGGTCGACTCTATGGCAGGCCGTTAGCTGGTGCCTCCTGTCAACTCCTTGCTTTGAATCGAGGGTCCATTGGTTCTTCCACGCGATCAGATTTCCGATAGGATTTCGAATCTCATGACTAGAGCTCGGAAGTTCAGGCATTATGCCTTAAATGCCTTTATCTGCTTTTTTCGGCATTTTTTGATGTAGAATGCCTGTTTCATTTCTTTCGTGCCTAGAGTGCCTTTTCGAGCTTATGAGGGGCCGAATTCCGAGGATTTCGGGGAAAACTGAGGGTTTCTTATTGAGAACGGTGATGAGATGAGGTCGGCGAAGATGACGTCGGCTAGTTTCCAGGAGCACATCTTGCTCTCGACAAGCTCCGATGCTCCGCCAGAGCGCGCAAAGAAAATTCGTCCTCGTTAAATGCTCGTATCAGATCGGCGTCGATTACTCACCGATGGGAATCCTTGTTACCACATGAAATTCTCACGATACGACCCTGATTGACGCTTCGATGCCGTTGTTTCCCCGCCTATAACGCCTATTTTGCCTAGTTTCGGTGCCTTTTTCGAGGGTTTTCAGTGCCTTTCCGCCTGCCATTTCTGAGATTTTTGAGTGCCTGAACTTCCGAGCTCTACTCATGACTTGTCCGCACCTCGTGCTCGAGAAAGCTCTCATGGACCGCTTCCGCCGTCGGGGACCCCGTTCGGGTCTGAGCTGACGGCGGAAAAGCTGCGCACGAGTCGTATACCGGATTTTCACTCAGTTTTGGCGATCACAGCCGTAGAGTGGTGTGTCTATAATAATAATCGGAGATTCTCGTCCGCTCCCAAATCAACGATCGAATAGGAGTACAAAGTTCGTCCTGACAATCTGATTCGGACAGCGAATCGGATCCTTCGACGGCAATCGTGTCCGCTTTATTGAATTTTCTGATGGTCTGGAGAAGAGATTCTGCCACGACCAGCTCGACTTCTTGATTTCCGTCGGGAACGTCCTCAGGGCTTTTACGAAGCGAATTGAATCTCTGCTGTAATGGAGCACTCAACGTGTTGAGCCTGGCAGGTATTTTGCCCCCGAGCTTCCGACACTTCGAAGCGAGCAGAAGAGCAACGCAAAAGTTCCCCGATTAATCTAACTGTCCGGCCGCGCTCGTTGTGAGGAAAAAGAAACGTGAATCACTCAGGGGAGTTCAATGGAGAGCCGTGGCGAGAGGCTCGGATGAACGAAGCTCGGCTCGTATCCCGAGCATATCTAGCAGCGGCTCAAAAGGCGGCAGTTGGCCTTGCTTTCGTCTGAACAGCCGATCATTATGACTTAGATTATGAATTAGAGGTGGCGGGTTCGTTCTTCCGATCATGTACAGACGAATTGAAGATATGCAATCTCGACGACAATCCCCTCTTCGCGGTGGCCCAAGTCCGAGTCGGGGAAGCCATTATGCGATGACCCGCTTTACTGGAGTCATCAGAAGCGCCGCGAATGAATCACAAAAAAAAGCTTCTGTTCCCGCCTCGGGCGTCACCTCTTCCTGAGTCCTATGGGTCCCGCGCGTTTCCCGTCGTATCTCCAAGCGATCCATGGCGGAGCTCTCTACGAGAGGAGGAGAGAGAACCAGTAGGATCGCGGAAAAGGGAGATATCGCTTCGAGAAACTTTCCCTGAGAATGAGAAACCGAACGTTCTCCGTAGATGGTGATCCCGTGCGAACCAGACGGATCCCCAGTTCGTCAGATACTTTTCCCGAATTCGTCCGAAATCGGCGCAGCTCAGGAGGATTGAGATCACTTCTATTCAGAGGACTTCCATGAGGCGACTCCCGACAGCCCAAGAGTCGAGATATCAACGGGGTTCTGAGGGTCAAAAGGGGAAACTTACTCGCGCTCTGGTATCGGGAGCACGCGATCCTGATGCTCGGACGACAGCCATGGAATATTTCATCAAGTGGAATGCGCAATTATAGGCTTCCATTTTGGCGCTTGGATTCCTCTTTTGGCAGAGAGGCTCGTTTTGGATCCGCATGCGATGCTCTCTGGCAGGGGAGAAGGCCTGTCTTAGGGGACTGACTTTTAACTTTTGCTGTGAAGGAAGTTTGCATCCGCGGACGGGACCATCTTGGGTGTGATAAGCAGTGAAGTTTCCGATGATATCCCGTGAGAGACAGACTCAAGACACCATTTGGCGATTAGTTGGAAATTTGTTGCAAAGAATGTGATCCTCTCGATAGCCCGATGAGAATAATGGAGTTATCCACAAAGCCCGAAAGCTCTGACCGAGTGGGACTCACGATGGGAGGACATCATCATGCATATCGGCTTCGGCGCAAAGGCTTCGATGGAGCATTACTCCCACAAAGTGTCCCGGTATGTCTTACAGCGGGGATATCGTGTTCTTTCTGAGATTACAAAATGGTCCATTTGTTTCGAACTGCGACGAAAATTATTTCATCGGGGAGATTGCCCGCGGTATCAGGATAGAGATACCCAATCGCTTCCAGGTTCGCGTCGCTCACCTCGGACGGTCAGATTTCGTTTGAATTATACCAATGAAGCCCCGACAATGTGGAACCTGTGAGGCATTTGCCGCCGATCCGAGTAAGGAAGAGATGAGTCTTCCGGCCTTCGAATTTCCGTCCCTGAGGAGGGTCCGGTTTTGAACTTGTCTCGCGGACCGTAACTTCCAGCGGACCCCATGGATTCAGAATCTGGATTTGGGATACGTATGCTGTACTCGTGGAGTATTGAGTACGCAAGAGTGTTTCCTCCGTGGTCTAAGTCTCCCTGTGTCGCGGGGATTCAAGCACGAGAATCGCGACCAAAGATCTCCAAAAGATGTGGAGCAGAACGAATACAGACGGAGATCACCGAAGGACTGCAGGAATGTTCTTGGATTTTCAGGCAAATACATCTGACAAACGACCGTGCAGAAGGAACGGGATGAAATCATGATTCCTTTGCGGATGGTCGACATCAATCCGTCGAGTTCTGAATATTTCCCATCGAGGGGGTCCTGAGAAGCTGGTTTTCTCCAGGGCTCCGAGGAGAATTGGGCTCACTCTGTTCAAGCAATGTCCGGCTTTTTCTTCGAAGCTCTCTCCCACCATCAATGCCGTGATCGAATTCCCTACTCTCCTTTCCTTTACGAGCGAACAACTCGCAGATTTCTATCAGATTCGAGAATTCCGCCCAGGGGCTTCTATTGGAGACGGGCTACTATCGGAGAGGGGCTTGTACTGGAATATTTACGGTATCTGTGTGGCTCAATTTATCGCCAGAATAGTCAGAAGAACGGACACAGATTCGACCGAGCGAAAGATATTCGATTGCACTTTCTCCGGCAATCGATACAGGGGTATTTGTCTTACGACCACAGAATCATTAGGTGAAGCGTTACAACTCCATTTCACTTACGAATGGGCGCAGCAGCTAACTCGAGCTGGAGGAGAAACGAATGGAGGGGATTAAGAACAAATGGGCGTCCTCGAAGTCACGTGTCGCTCGTGAGCTCCAGCACCTCGGCTCCATCAGGATTCGGAGTGACTCAAACTCTTAGTCACAGCTGCGCGAGTGTACCCGTCTCTCGCTCCTCAGTAGCGTCCCACCGCGCGTCATTTTCGCCCGCGGATCGCGCCGTAAAGCTCAGACGTCAAAGGTATCGTCGGCGATTGATCGGGATCCGTCGCGGCTCGAACCTCACGAACTCTGAAAAATCATCATAGCTTCGCCCATTGCTGCCTCGGACGTATTTTGGCGCGGCTCGTTCTCTGGCTCCGTGGTGCATCTAGCGCCGCGCTTCCTCGGGATGGCCTCCACATCTAGGCTCCTCCGATTTTGACGTAAACAGTAGAATGTCTGGGTGTGTGGTGTGAGCGCGCGGTGGCGGGCCGTCATGTAGAACATTGTAGACTACAATGGACACCACATAGAGGTTGGCAAACAGCGTCCGACCACAACAGCCAAGCTGGGGTCGGCAAGGGGTGAGTCTCAGACTTCGATTATAAGTTTCCATATTTTCCGCTTGGCTTCCGCGGGAGGCGACTCGACTTCCTATTTTTTTTCGGTTCCTCCTAAAGTACTGTACCGCCGCGATGCCCCACCGCTCCATATGCTGCTCGGATCAAAAGTTCATCCGAGAGAGTCTCCTGTCGATGGAGGACTGAGCGCTTGTGGAGCTGCTTTGTCGCTTTTAAGGGCAGTCGGTTTTCCTATTGGCGAGCTATTGTTTTGCCCATCGTTCGTTTTCGGATATGCGACCCGTGTTCATCGGATTGGTGCGCTGTCAGCCAGTGAAGAAAATATTCCAAAAGATAGACGAGATGAGTCAAGCGCGGTCTTGGGGCACCTTTCCCGGTAAAGTTATTCTGGGTAGAACTCGGGAGCCGCGGCGGTCCTCGCGCTCAAGCCGACAAAGGTCCTTCGGGAGCCGAGACCTTTCGAATCGAGACTGCCGTCAGGCTGTCGCGGCTTTCAGGAAGTCTTTTCCGAACATATTCGATCCTCTTGAGGACGCTGCTCGCCGTATCAGCGTATTCGGACTCTCTTATTCGTCGGACAATCGGTTCCCGAGAGACTGCTGAACAGGGAAAATCATCCAGTAGCCGTTCTGCTGTGGTCATGACGCCATCAAAATGAGTTTCTGAGTCGGAATTCGCGGAATCTTTGGATCGGAAGGCTGCCACAGATGGCCGCGTTCATCGCGTATGAGCGTTCGTTGGCCTATTCCCGCGAGGAATGAAAATCCGTTGTTTATGGAATTGAGAATTCGAGGCTTCTCGCCTTGTTTTCCAGCTGTTCCTGGCCGACTCCGGCGGGTATGACCAATTCTCTAATGCATCTGAATGGATACGGTCTCATTCGCTCGTGAATTAAGCCCCACATCCCAGCATCGCGCACTTTCGGTGGCTCGGAGTTAATTACAGCAACGGGAGGCTTGTAACGTAAGCAGTCCTCGAACGACTGCGCTGGAGACGATACCGACCGGCTTTGAATCGAGCTACGATCAAAGCCCCATAAGGAGCATTCGTTTGGCGGCATATTTATTCGAAACGAGCCTCCTCATCGGTTCGGGGATGCGCGATTCGAAAATGCAGCTGAATCGACAGCTAGCCCGGGCTTCTTCTCGATAAGGAGACGAAAGGATTTTCCGAATCGTGTTAGAACACCCAGTTGGGATTACGGCGATAACTTTCACTCGCGCCGGATCTCATTCGCGCAGAATTCAGCACTCAGTCTACCTAGGATCGGGGTTGACATGTCTACTCCAAGGTCGTGTTATTCTAACATCGAGTGCATGCGAATGACCTGCGACTGCCGCTACTCAGTCGGAGGAGACGACAAGTAAAACCACCGGCGAGCGTGGGGGAGATAGAGCGTAGGATCCGATGAGTCAATCTGTTTCAACCCGCACACCGACTCGAGATCGGGTCGACTCGAAGGGTTGGCCTTTAGAATCGAGCTGTGCCGGATGCTGAGTGTGGATGTCGGCTCCCAGCACCCGATCAGCAGAAACGCTCCAGAAAGGAGCGACGTTGGGCAATCCATTGGTCCCGATGAGTTATTTTAGACGACTCCGAGATCGAGTCGAAGTCGTCGACAACTCGACTCGACTCTGGTGAGAGTAGCGTGAGGCTTCCGACCGAACCAATTTAGTCGCTAATCTCGTTTGCATGCCGTTTTATAGGAGTCTCACTCCATCTTACAAGCGAGCTCCCCAAGTCAACTGCCCCCGACCTTCGCCTGGGTAATATCTCATAGCAGAATACGATCGTGGTCAGGCTTCCCGGACATCGCCTGATGTCCTCGGGGAAGATCGATGAGTTTATGAGTACTGCATAGGCCGAGGCTTCCGATGTGGCTTCCGATTTCCGCGGACAGTTGTCCTTACTGAAAATGGCGTGGAGGATGACCCGGGTCTTTCCAGAACCCTCACTATTCCCCATGGGAATTTTTTATCTCAATCGTCAGTTTCTCTTTTAGCAACATGGGTCTGCAGTTGTGGTCTATGAGGATAAGAAGTCCGTCCCAATCGCACTAGTGAATCCGATCACAATTCGTAGGCGCAGAAAACGAACGAAGGAACGACAGACGGACGGACAGTCGGTCGGTCGTTCGGTAGGTCGGACCGACCGATCACAATCCTTCCACCGCCCTCTCCATGTTGGAAGATCTCTGCGGTGAGACTCGTTTCTGGCCGATTCAGATACGGATGCTCTCAGAAAAAGTATTAATCTCAGACGAGCATCGCGATCCGAATCGGTACTGGCGTTGTTTCGCAAAAGGCGCCTGTTGGCTCACCTGTTGATAAGAGCGTCATTCAGAAATGTGCTAATGCTCTTCTAGTCGTTTATTGCGGACTTTGAACAGCCACCAACAGCTGAGACGCGGGCTGTTCAGCCCTCGGTCATGGAGTTACGCGCTGGTCGCCGGCATTGGCCTTTTGCCGAATGTGTTTATGTGAATCTACGACTAGATGTGAAACAGGCGTCTGGCCTGTGCGGGTTGACGGTGTGCCGTCAGTGAAATTCGGCTCCGAGGTTGTTACAACATCGGTCCCTCCGACTGGAAAGCCGCTCGTCGGAACGGAGTTTCCTCAAGGAACCAAATGAAGAAGACGTTTCGGCTGACTCGTTTCCTCCGTGCAGTTGCTTTTCTTGTCGGCAGCGATTCCGCCCGCTATAATTGTTTCCGATGCACGAGGAATCTATTGAGTATCCTCTCCGAGACGGAACTTCAACTGATGCTGTAATTATTGAGGACAGCCGAGGTGACAGATAAACCCCGCATCCGGAAAGACACGGCGGTGCGCGGCGCCGTCGGACTCTGTGATATTTTGATTGAGAGACTATTGTGAAGCTACCTCATCTGTCGTTCGATGTTTGTCTCGTCTTTCCTTGAGCGAATTCCCCGTCAGCGACAGACAACCGAAGCAAGTCTCACAAACCCTTGCATCAAGGCAGAACTCGAGAGTTAGGCGGGCGCGCAGGCAAGCGAGCGGACGAATACTACTCACAGATGCTGAGGGATGCACACACATAAACATTCAGAGGAAGAAGAAGAAGACGATATGAGCGTAGCGTGATGCAGAAAAGCCGCCGGGGAGCCAAGTGAATCCTCATTTTTTCTGGAATTCTATCGGTGTTTGTCCGTCATCACGTCAGGCCGATATCGGGAAGGTTCCTCGATCTGTTTGTCAATCCGTACGCTAGTCGGTAGACCGTTTGAAATGGTCTCGGCAATCGTCGGAGGCGCCAAAGGAGAACCTCTTCTGAAATTTGTGAAACGTCAAGTACAGGAAGTGAAAAATGCTCCGGCTGAAGCGCGCACCGACTCGAAGGATAAAGAGCCAAGTAAGATGCTTTCTCATTCGCAATCTGACATCGTCTGATCTTTATGTTCCGGAAGCTCCGCGAGTTTTCGTCTGAGAAGAGCGCTCAAGTCGTTTTTCCGCCGTGTTTCACTGGGGCGAGATGATCCGCGGCTTCGCTGGTCTTGAAGCTGGTTCACTGTCATTGGTTTTCTGTGAAGTGTCGTCGGTCGGAGGGACAGGCGCCGTAGGGACGAAAGTCCGCGAGCCGGGCATTAATCGAGCCGGGATGCCTTCGGCAAGACCGAGTTGGAAATATTAATATGTGACACCTCACTCATCCATCTCCATCTGTGAGCGTGTAAGACTCAAGTAGTCAGTGTCTCGCTGGAAGAGAATCGTATTTGTGGGTAGGCGGGAGATTCAAGACCGTCGTCCGCTGGGGAAAAGATGAGAGTGTCCGTGGGAAAAATCGCTAGGTTATAAATCTTCTCGAGTTACGGTTGAGAGAGGGCTCCTCGCAAAGCAACCGCTGCGTGTGTTCTTTTGCCTGTCAGAGCAGTCCATATTCGAGCTTATGACATTTTATGCTCGTGGTCGTAGACAAACAGATCACAGGGCTTAGCTTTTGAGAGATGGTGCCGCCGGTCGTAAAGGTCAATCATCGGCCGTCGATTGTACGGCTGTAAATCTTGGAAACAGACGGGAGATGTTCGGGAATTCCTAAAGCGGAAGGCATTCTTATTCGATGAGGGATTTTTTTTCCGATTCCGGTGGCTCTCCTCCAGTTCATTTCCGAGGTGACGAAGGAAGCGCCGGCTTCCTTTCGTAGAGAGTTCGGGCATCATATGAGTTTGCGAAACAGGCGAGACATGGGAGAAGAATATCAGACTATATTCGTCACGTACGCTTGAAATCCGCCGCAGGTCCGCTGGAAGTTCTCCGACGACGAGCGTGGGTGTCAAAAGGAAACTTCGCCGCTGCCGTACACAGCGGGAGAAATTCGGGTACTCGCAGGAATATTTATACGAGCTAAATTCACAAGGTTCGCCACATGTATCGGTTGAGAATCTCACGGCCTGACAGAGCCTGTCACGATATTTGAGGGCATGACTGGATAACGCATCGAGCGGAGAACTTACCGTCGAAACTCCCACGCTTGCTCTTCGAAGAGCTTTCTGAACATTACGTTCCGTGTCTACCGTACACTTCAGACACGCTTATGAAATGCCTGAATCTGAGGCTCTTTTTCCTCATGATTTCTTGCTCGACATGCACGCGACGCAGCCTAAGGCTCTCGGCACACCTACGTAATCGGTTTTCTATTCTGAATGACCGACCTGGAGGGAAAGGCGCGACTCATTTCTCCCAGGGGAGTCCGACAGGATGGAATAAGTCCTCGAGAGAGATTCCTCGGATTTCATGGCCTAATTGTTTGCATCCATTGGACCAGCAAAAATCGAGATCGATTGCTGATTCATGATTTTCTCTTTCCAGATGGGCGTAAGACTTCGAGTGGATCGGGAAGAGGACAGAGGGTACAGCGGAGGATGAGTCAAATAGAACAGGATACTCGCTCAAGTAAGTTCCTTTGACAGTATCCTGTTTCCTGTCGGAATCTCTGAGAGACGACGTCCCACGCGATGCCGCGGCGCGGCAACTCATTGAGCTCTCGTTGAGATTCGGTGTCAACATTCCTGCTCATTCCCTCCCGCCCGCTCTCTACTCTATTGAGGAGAATCCATCTCCCTCGGTGTCAGAGAACATGATTCCCCGGCGGAATGTGACGAGGTGGCAGACTAGCGATTCACGATGATTAGGAGGTCGATAATCCGATAGTTCGGTCGTGGGATTTATAATTCGTCCTTATTATTCGCACGTGGGATTTGCTCTCGCTTCATTACGAGAAATATATTACACGTATGCGGTGAAGATGTCGATTCTCGGAAACTTCCTCCCGGAGAGAGATCAGCGAGTTCAATACTTCCTCTGGCGATGCTTCCTGAGGATAATGAGTACGACAGAGGAAGTCTCTCGAGCAGAGCTTTCCAGTTCGAGCGCAGCTTGCTTACTTGTGCAAGTCTCAGGGGATCGGATCGGCGAGATCACTCGATTCAATTCGTCCCTTCCGATCCGGACTCTCACTCATTCTCTACATTCTCTCCCACGAAGACGCAACTCATTTCTTTGCTTATGTTGACGAAGCCGGTATTCCGCGCAGAGCGATGAGTATCTGCCTCATCTGATCAGCGATCCGTGCAACATAGAACTTCCGCCGATACTCCTCACGGTATCATCGTTCATCTACCTCTAGCTATCTGATCGGGGCCAGAAATTCTGTGAGACGCCAGTAACGCCAAGTACGCATCCATCCTGGAATTTTGATCACGCGACAGAGCTCAATCCCCTCCTTCCGTTTCCAATTCCAAATTAGATATACTCGGAGATCTAGCTAGCGCGTCAACGGCGTCGGCACTGTTCGGTGCTTGATTTCACCTCCTCCCGAGTGCTGAGTGAGTCGCTCGCCGCTGATCGGAGCGAAAACTCAACTTCCGAAACGGTCGCGCGATATAGCCTCATCGTGACTTGGGCGGTCGTTCTGGGTCCCCTAGCCTAATGAGATTTGTAATTCGCTCTCAATCTTTGTATGCGGCGAGATCTGTCTGCGGTCGTTTTCTTCGGAGAGAGACTTCGGAAAGGAAAGCGAGGACTCCTTGTTTCTGAATCGTTTGCGCTCAGGCTGGGACAAACGAGCATGAAACGCGAAGGCGGTTTCTTCACTCGATGTAACCGGAGCTCATCCTGCAGCGCATACAAGATTCATGACCCAAGATGTCGAAATATAAATGCATATATGAGCCTGATTCGTGGTGGAAACCGTCAATGGGACCGACGCTGGGGATCTCCCTAGTGCCATGAATTTGACAGGAATCGTTCCGTTCATTCCCAGGGCTTCTCTGTTGTTTCTCGGAGGGTTTCTTCTTAGCACTGAAAGAGTACAGAAATTCGCTGACGAAAGCATGCGACCCGCTAAGATGCTGTTCCACAAGGCCAGAGAAGTACGGCAACTCCTTCATGGAGATCGCACGGGTTCTCTCAAATCTCTTCAGGTTAGTAAGCAAGATACAGTTCCAGCGATTGGACACTGGAATCGTATCAATGAAACGCCATCCTGTGATCGGTGTTTATCCCCACCTTGAAAGATAATCCGTTCGGTCAGACAGTGTGTTCCGGCTGATGTGAAGATGTCGCCCCACTCTAAAAAATGTTTTCTCCCCCCGCTGCTTCCGTTCGTCCTCGATGCTCCCCTGTCGCTGCTACACCATAGGGACCTGAACGTTTCGGGTTCGGATGTCGCAGCAGGTTTAGTTCTCCTGAGAAAATATCAACGCTTGCAACGTGAAACTATCCAAGAACAAATTGAGAACGACACGTATCAGTTTTTGTCAGGAGTCCCTATTACCTCTCAGACACATTTCCTAGATGTTAATGAACCTGAGGTCTGCGAAGAGATTGAAGCCATCACCCACTATATGGAATTCGCTCTGGGCGTTTACGGCTGGCCAATGTACCTCATGACGAACGGGGTTGGTAGAGCTTGTGCATGCTCGTTTCTGGGACAGCTCCGATGCCTTTGCTGTTTGAGGAAACGAGATTCCGAGAGCTCCAATCGTTCAATTGTCATCGAGGACAACTGTTGCCTATGCAACTTCGCCGCTGTCGATCAGATGCTCATGAAGAACAACCCCAACGTGCAAGTCATTTACGTCAGCTATCACGTCAATGTGAGTTTCAGAGCGGATCAAGCCGAATGAATTCAGTGAATAATTGAGCTCATCGCGAATAGCATCCGATCCCGCTCCCAGCATGGAGGTCGAGCGCCGAACACATTTGACTGGTACGCTGTTCAACCGATGTTTCAGGTTAACGAGACCCCGTTTCTGATCTCACTGGACCATGAACGGCGCACGGTGGTCGTGAGCATCAGGGGAACTCTCTCACTGCAGGACGTACTCACGGATTTGAATGCCGATGGAGAAGAATTACCGATAGAATCCCCGCGTCCGGATTGGATAGGACACAAAGGCATGGTAAAAGCTGCCCAATACATCAAAAGCAAGCTGATTGAAGACGGTCTCCTAAATTACGCCTTCAGCTACAGCTCGGTACGTACCGAGCCACGAACTCAGCTCGAGAAAAATATAAACTCGTGGTTCCGCAAGGCAGCGCAACCCAGGCGGCTTGAGATTCTCTCGGTTCTGAATTCGCATCCCCTCACGATGTGGTGGCGGAATTGTCGAATGACGATGATGATGATGGTCGCTTGCCGTCCGGGAAAACGCAAGGTGAAGGGAACAGAGGTCGGAAAGAAACCTGGCGCGTAACAGGGTCAGGGGCAGCTGATGTGAGACGAGGAGGAGAGCGTTGACGTAGCTGCTTTGCGAAACAGGCTTCGGAATGGCTTGCTCGCTCTTGCTTAACTTTCCTCTTTTCAGGACCGTGGGACGTCGACTTATGACCTCGTGCTTGTCGGCCATTCCCTCGGCGCCGGGACGGCGGCCATTCTGTCGATTCTTCTGAAGAAAACCTATCCTAATCTCGTGTGTTACGCGTATTCACCCCCGGGGGGCACTCTGAGTATAGCAGCAGTCGAGGCAACGAAAAGCTTCATTACTTCAGTCGTGCTCGGCAAAGATGTCGTGCCCCGGATAGGACTCCATCAGATAGACGCTCTGAGGAGTGATCTCATGAATGCTATTAGCCATAGTGATGATCCTAAGGTAAAGTACCTACTCGTCACCGAATCGATATGAGCCTCTTCCGGTGGAGCTACCCGGGTATTGAAAATATCACTGTTTTCAAACACCTCCTACGCGCTCGTGATTCCTGAAAGCGGTCGATGTCTGATAGAGAGTTTCTACGGCTCGTGGGTCTAACTGTTCGACGCCGATTCCAGTGGAAGATTATCATGGGTGGAATGATGTGTTGTTCTTGTTGCGGACGAGATTCGGTCAAAGAAGATCAGTTAGCGGCTCATATGCTACACGAGCGAAGCGGTCTTCGGCATTCCGAGTCGAATATCACCCTCAACTGTTCCGAACCCCTTTTCCCGCCGGGAAGAATCATCCACATAATCCGATCTCACCCTAAAAATAATTTAGCCAATTACGATACCTCAGACACGTCTGTGCGCTCAGAGAAAAGTATATGGAGGTGAGTGCTTCCTCTTGGAAGAGGAGAAACCCATGAATCAATTGTCATACATGAGGTATCGATTCAATCAAATAGGCAATGTCATCGTTCGCTGCTGATGGAGAGGGGAATCAACTCTTCCCTTGTATTTTGCAGGAAAATAGGTTTTGGCTCAGATGAAGAGCCTGTATATCAAGCGTTGTGGACGGATCCGCGAAACTTCGACAAAGTTCTAGTCTCACCGTCTATGATTCAGGACCATATGCCAGACAAAGTATTGGAGGCGCTGAGGAAACTCCTCACAAAAAGTGGCCCAACGAAACCGAAACGTGCTGTTCCAGCCAGGAACGAGGTTCTCATGGCTATCCATGGCGAGCCGCTCGTGCTCGATCCCCTAGCTCCTATGGAAAACGAAGAGCACATTGCGGAGCGGGTGCGTGCCATGCAAAGAGTCAAGGTGGTGACGGAGGCTCCGCGGCCCGCGAGCTCCATCAGTTCCCTCGGTCTCTCTTTCCCGGCGCCAAACCCCCGAGGAGCTCCACTCGCTTCGCCCGAAACCCTGAGCGAAGTGAGCTCTGTCTCCGGCTTCTGCGTCGGAGACCCGCAGGGCAAACGGTCATCTGTGATAGAACGTGCGCATTCCGACCAGCAGGTCACGGAGAAGTGCGACGTTCCACTCGTGAGTAAATCCACCTGTTTGTTTGAAGCGCGGGCAAGATCTGGATCCGCCCTGAGACTCACTCAGCCGCTTTCATGTGACGTGGCTTGCTGAGCATTTTATTTCCGTGCTTAATTTTCAATCGTTCAATACCGCTTCAACAAGTCGACTTCCTTCGATAGCGGGGGTGGACACGACTTTGAGGAAACCGTTTTTTGTGATAAGTTCCGGGGCTGCAACTCAAGCGCTGCCGATCTAGGATCTCCTCGATGCTCTGCCTTCGAGGGTTCTCCATGTGCTGATGGCATGTCTTCGTTCGATTTTCCGTTCAATTTTCCGTTCAATTTTCCGTTCGATTTCCCGTTCAATTTTCCGTCCGACTCTCCTTTCTTGTCCGATCCGACCTGCTTACCTGGATGACCGGTTTGAAGAGGATTCCTCCCTGCTTTCAGTATTTACAACAAGAAGCTGAAGTTTCAAGCAGCGCTCCAGCGTCAAAACTGGGCGAGGACATCGGCGAAGCGACCGACGATTCGGCTTTCACTGCAGCGACTTCAGTCCTCAAGGACGGTAGTGGGAATAGTTCACCGGGCAAGAAAGTCCGAGTCTCTTTTGATCCTCCTAGCGACGAGGATCGGAGAAACTCACCTCGTGGAGTTGGCTGGTTGGCCTCGTGCTCCTCAGATTCTCCCACGACGGAAGATGAAACCCAGTTGACGATGGAAGACCAATTGGCTATGTTACGGACAATTCCTTTCCCGAAGGATCAAGACTACGATAGCGATGTCGACGAAACGGCCTCAGAGCGAAGTTCCCAGGTAGAGTGATCTCTCGCTTTTGCAATAAGCAAATGTTCCCGTGGGATCTCCTGTCGAATGCGAATTTCGCCTCCCGGGCCCTTCAGATGGGTCCGACGCTAACCATCATCAACCATTCATTCCAGCATGCCTCGAGCTCGATACTACCACCCGTACGACAGTATTATTACTACGACTACTACGACAATGGGAGTGATGCCACTCACCCCGCGCCCACTGAAAGCGCCTTGTGAGAATCCTCATTTTTGACTGCAGAATATCAGTTTATTGTATCGCGTCGTGTGCGCTGCTCTTATTCAATACTCAATATCGAGTACCCCTCAAGATCGTTTTTCGGACGCTTAAGGAGAGGGGAAGGACGTGCGGAGCCTCCTGCCGCGCCCAAGATTTGTACTTCATGAGGCTGAAGGAAAGATCTCGACCGCCTCCTGGAAACCTTGGCCCTGTTCGAAGAAAAAGTTAAGCTCCGCTCCTTCCGCTCCCTGGGGGAAGTCGTGCTTTTCGACCTGATTCCGCGCGTTCCCTCATTTCTCATCTTTGTTTGTCTGTGATCGAGCACGAAGCGTTTCCGAGACAGCAACCGTTCGGCCGTGATTCTCCCAACGCGACTATTGAGAGGATCGAACTGAACGCTTTTCCCGAGAATTCGTCCAGTGCGGGCAGCTCAAGCTCAACCCGATATGCTGGTTGAGCTCGATGGAAGGTGGCAGTTCATCGAGCTTAGTACTTACTTCCGTGACGCCTCGAAGTTCAATCACCCTCCATATCCCGGCTTTACCTTGTTTCATAGTAGGTGATATTGTTCTACTATTTCATCTTTTTCTTATCATTATCATTACTTTTCTTCCACTCATCTTTCTATCGTGGTTCAATAGAAATAGTTCTTTCATCAACGATTCGATCATTATTGAATATTCGGGTGAAGCTTCCCCAAGTCATTCTCCAAGCTCATGTCCAGGACGACCAGATAAGTGTGAATTCATGGGTTGAACAATGCCTGAGCATCTTGACGCTGTGAACTGTAAGCAGCTTCAAATGCCGAGCGCTCCGTGGGGATCGAAAGCATTCGACACATTGTTCATAAGCCTCATATGCGTTCCGAAAGGAGTTGCAATGTACTCTCGGCGGAACCGCATCGCTGGATCATTTTCCTTCCGCCGTGTCGAGAAAGTCCTACCGAGCGCTCCTTTAATTGTGATTTCGTTGGCTGACTCGTCCTGACTTTGCACCTCTGATTTCCGCCAAGTCGTCGACTACAAGAAGTTAAGCTGTCAATCAATCTCACGCATGGCCTTCACTCGGCATCGCCATCTGGTACTTGTTGCCATGGCCCGCTGTTTCTGCTGCCGCAACACGCCTCCTTACTCCGATTGTGCACCATGGAGGGGAAGTTGAATTCTGCCGCATACGTGTCTGATGTGTAATATGAACGGTTCGTACTGCAATTGTAGACCCGTGCTGCCATATGCAGCAGCTATGCTCATTATAATTATGCTTGAGATATAATCAAGGTGAGAGTAAGAGTCTTCTCTCTTTTCCGCGTACCTCTCCGAGAACCATTTCTATGATTCGCCCGCCTCGGCTCGATGAATCGACTCGCGGTTGAGCTACTTACTTGTAAAAGCTGCACCGTCGTTCGAAATAGTTTCAGAACCGTAGCGGGCTTCTGCTCATTGTACGGCAGCGACGCCGGCTCTGATTACGTCTCTGAGGCGGATAACTTCGATTTCCGAATGGCAGCAAATCTCCGCAAGACGACTCTTCCAGCACTAGTCAAAAATGAATTGAATGTGAACTTCTCCTGAAGCGTGACAACCACAATTGAGTCGACTCGTTCCGTGGAGAAATAGATGCATAATTGATTCCGTAATTGGAAAGAGCGGTGTCGTCGGGAGCATGAGAAAACCGTCAGGTTGAACCACAAACGATTCCGTTCGTTGGCGGATGCTCCGGAAGAATCGGATTCTCCAAGAGTATTTAGAGCAGTCGGATGAGAGACTGAGCATATAGTAGACAAAGTGATGTTAGCTTCCTTTTGTAAGCATTAAATATATAATTTATTGTCGTAACGACCATCGAGTATTCTCTCTGACATCTTATCTTTGGCGAGAAAATACTGAAAATAAGAAATGGTATCTCACCCTTCAAGTTTCATGTTTCATTCATAGCGAATTCATCGGCCTGAGAGTGCTCTCTTCGCGGGGAATCGTCTAGTTGAGATCTGAAGATCCGATGGGCGGCGGTCCCTATTGCTATGGAATTTTTTATTCCGCCAGGAATATGCTCTGCACTGAGTTTATTCAAATCCAGCGCTCGTCTTCTAGAACTACGGCCAGTCCTTCAGTGCTCAGTTTTTTTAATGGCCGGATCAGACGCAACGCTGCTCATGACAGTTTCAGTTGACTAGGGCTTCGGCCTCGAAAAACCTCGTGGAAGAATCGGAATTCGGTTGGGCATGACCCTCATCATTGCCGTTGCAACAGAGAACCCGTACCACGTCGTTGAAAAAGCAGAGGCTTCACAGCAGCCAGGCTTTCGGTAGAAGCTGATGACTTTCGCCGAGAGCATCGAAAAGCTTATGCAATCCCCGAGGCGACACTGTGATTCCGCGCTGCAGAGGTGAGATCGACATCTCATTCAACAACGAATTGAAAACTATACATGCTGTGTGAGGTGCGTGAATGGCGGAAACCTGCTCCGGCAAACCGATCGGAACTTGGCGCAGTGTACACGGAAACGAGGAAGACATGATCAGACGACGTCTCCAAAACGCGTATCGCCTTGACGTTACACGTGAAAGATGCAGGATATAGGGAGCAGTGCTTTTGATCAACTTAGCTCTTTAAGGATGCTTATCGCTCCTCTCCAAGCTGGACGACACGGCTGTCGATCCCTTGAAGATCTGATCCATAATAATCCTGAGGAGCTCATTGGGATTTGCAGACCGCAGTAAAGATTTCCCAGGTCAGTGGTTGACACTAGGGAAATACCATGATGATGATCACGTAAAATTTCAGAAGTTTTCTAAATCGCACAAAACGAAAAGCTGGGGATAGAATTTTAATTTCCGCAGGTATGAGCATCAGCTGAAGCAGACCAGAATCGCGCGCCCAGCATTATATTTCCCGAGCATGGTCTTATCCGAGCAGCTCCGCTCTCACAGGGTGACACATACAGTGACAGGGTGAAATAGAAGTCCCGGCGTTATGCTGCCATAGATAGTTATAGTGTTATAATACTTGGGATTCATAACTATTGCGAATGAGCGGTGTGGATCCTTCCTCTGACCGCTGTGTCCTCCAATTCAAATCTCACCGTGGGGAAGACTCATGCCGCGACCGATACCGTACAGGTGATTGATTGATACTCCGAGGCATGATCTGCTTGAAATAAACGGTTCCGCACGGAGTAGGTTTTTTCCTGTCTGAGACTTACCCTTGGGTCTGGGAAGTTGGCGCGGTCGCGCCGAATGCCGTGAATTTCCCCGGTATTCTCTGGCAGTCCTCCGGAGGAAGTTAATGGGGGTTGATATCTGCCGAAATTTCCGGGAAAAATGCCGTGAAAGACTCCCAGCCTGCCACTGCCTTGAATACACGGATCGTGTGCAAATGTTCCTAGCGCGGCCAGTTGTGAGCCCGGAGAACCTCAAATTCATTGTATTGGATGGGAGTCACCCTCTGAAAAACTATTCGCTCGACATAGAAGTAATTATTCGCGGGGGGTCTCCAAGTGTGTGAGCCTTCGAGCCATTGAGTAAGAGGAGCGACGTAATAAACGGAGGCCGAGTTCCATCGATCCGCGCTTATCCCCGAGTCCCAAGTCGATCTGGAGCGACTTGGCGGATTTACCGTCACGATCGCGGTAAACGCGAGGACTCCTTCGCTTAAGCTTTCTGCTAGGGTCCAGCATTCGCCATCTCAAGCCGCGCGACCTTCAGAATAATTCTGGGGCCGGCGTTCGGAATGTTATCGCTTCTATAGCCCGAAACTCTGGCAGCCAGGGATCTGCACTGGGGAGCAAAGACGGGACAAAGAGGGAGGGCGTCTTTCGCTGGGAGTGACATCCTGAGCAAATGCTTGCCGGAATTCAGCTCATGGCGGCGGTCATTCATACCCATCTCTGCGCCGCGCGCTGATTCGCCAAGTGCCGGCTGCCATCCCGCATCACAGAAATTATCGCACAATTCTCCGTAATGCACGAGTGTTTCCCCGCAATGCTTTCGCAGAGGCTTCAGAGGAATCCCATCAAGATTGAGGAGCCTGAACCGAGTTCGTTACGGTGGGGCGGGAGCATCTTCATCTCGGAGCATTTCCACCGAGGCGCAGGGAGACGACGGCTGAGCCGACAATGGGTCCTTCCCGATGGGACTCCAAGCGGGGTCGACTGATTGACTCACTTCCGGAACATCATATTCCGTTGCAATTCGCATCGTGTAACCCCCTTGTACGAATACAGGAGCTATTGTCATTATGATGGAATCGATGACAATCACCGAAAGTCCGCCTTTCCCCGAGCGTGCCGCTCCCAAGCTTCTGTGGATGAAAATAGAGCTCCCCAATGTTCATCCCTGACGCGAATTTCGACGTGAACACGTCTTTAATTCCACTCAGGGGGTAGAATCAATGTCCCCCATGCAACGAAATTCGAGGCACTTTGCGACCTGATAACTCGTGTTGTTCAGAACGGATCCAATCGTTGAATGCACCGATGGGAAGAGAATTTACGGAGGTATCTGCCATTCATTTTCCGTGGTTATGCCTGGCGATTTTGAAGCTTTCTGGGAGCGATTCTGGATGCTCCTGGAATACTCCCGGACAGTGTAAAAATACAGGATTTCCTCTGAAACTATCGAGCTTGTGCGATATATTTGAGAAAAGTAGCGAAGATTCAGATGGGCTCGACCGGCGGAATACAACCTATTGGGCAGGAACAGTCGATCAAGGGGACAATTCCCTTAGATTGATGGAGATCAGATCGAAGTCGCCATGCACGTTTTTTGAGATTATTCCAATCTCGAATTCCTACCGAGTCGCACGACTCAACAGTGGAGGGAACTCTCTCAAGGAACAATCAGAATCGCTCCCTTCCGAATATACAGACAACGTGAGCTCAGCCTCCGCATAAGAGCGGTTCACGAACATTTTGCGGTCGCGAACGACGATACTATCGTTGAGGAGCTTTCCATTGAGTCGCTTCGACCCCGATACCCCGATTTTCCAAGCCGCCGATTCAGCGGAGTTCCGGAGCGGCCTCACTAATAAACACTGAACAGTCGAATCATGTCGAATGCTCCGATATAATCGCTTCCACTCGAATGGATACAAATCCAAGTCCGAATCATGAGCGTCTCCGACCTCTGGAGGCATCCTCATTCCACGCTGTTCCCTTTCCTCGAGAATCCGCTTGGATTAACTCTCACTGGCCACACTCTTGAAGCGGTTCTATCTGGAATCTGGGAGGCTTTAATCACCCTCCGCGTTCTGTCGAGACCTTCGGCCTAAAACTTCACTGAA